CTGGTGTAAAAGACTCCCTATTGAGACATCAAACTGTTATTTGAGCACTCTCTCCGTGATGGAGACAAAAGGTCAAGTCAGAGCAAAACACTCGCACACCACTGCTCGTCCTCAGCACAGCTGGCCTCGGAGAGCAACACACACACACACACACACACACACACACACACACACACACACACACACACACACACACACACACACACACACACACAGACACAGACACAGACACACACACACACACACACACACACACACACACACACACACACACACACACACACACACACACACACACACACACACACACACACACACACAACACAACACACAGACACAACACACACACACACACACACACACACACACACACACACACACACACACACACACACACACACACACACAAACACAAACACACACACACATTGATAGTAGTACGTTTGTGCACAAATCCACACACAGAGTTGTAGAACATGACACCTGCTGAGTCAAAGTGGTTTTGGGGCTGTAGATGAATACAGAGAGCACCAAAGTTTTATCTGGCGCAGCACTGCAGTGTAGGGCTGTAACTGCTAGCGATTAAATACAAGTTAAATACAGAATTCCCCACTGGGTCTGACCTACAGCTGGTTTTCCGCCTTCAGTACGCCAACCCTCTTGAGGCTTGACCTTCAGATGTGAGGACGAATACCATTATGTTTACCATTTTCAAGAGTATCTTAGTGTATGGAACGTTCTAAATGCAAATCAATTGTTGTATACAGCCAATAGGTCCACTTCATGCATGTACATAACTACACTCTGTGAAACCCTCCTGGGACAACATCATATTTACAAACCATAGACTGACTGCAATTATATAGCGCTGTTCCAGTCCTGCTCAGGGAAACTAACTTTCACACACATTCACACACAATGCTCTAGGAAGCAATTTGGGGTAAAGTATGAACTCTTATACTTCCCAGAAGCATCTCCCATCCATTATAACTAAATGTGTCCATGTTTTTGGCATGCTTTCTAATGGTACTCTCTGCAAAATATCTCCACTAAATAAATCCATTGATGACTTTATAACCCTGTGGTGAACACGTGATGAGTGTGTTTCTTCTCTTCAATCAGACTGAATTTAACCAGTGTTTCCGAGTATCTTTGAATGTGAAGCAACTGTGTCCGGGCAGGTGAATAGCTCCGAGGCAAAGAGTGTGAAGCTGTTTGTATGAGCAGTTCTCAAAAAACTGCGAACAGCGATATCACAGGTCAAACATTTGTAGTGTCTGAATGGGCATGTTTCAAACACGCACTGCAACAGTTGCAATACACAGTAAAAAGTGTTAAGCAGTTGTGTCCACAATCTGCATGCTGCCTATCACACTGTCATTTGTGGAGGTTTTCTTTTTCACGTGGCTTAATTCAATCAGAATTAAGGCAGGTGATGGACGACCATGGTTATAAAGAAATATCTCGAGGGAATTAGAGGTAATGTTAGCAAGTTAAGCTATAGCTTCCATAGACTAAGAACACAAAGGGTCCACCCAATGTTTAATGTTGTAAAGGGACAGATGTCTTACATTGCTAATGGTTGGTACTGCACCACAAAAGTCGAAACATCTCCTAGAACTTGCCTTCAGATGTCAGTAGGCCGCCGCTATGGGAGTCATTCATCGAGAGGTTTGAGGATGCCGTTTCCACAACTATGTCCAACTATGGATTTAACTTGGAATTGTTCACTTCAAATTGGAAAGAATTGCACAAGCTTCAGTATAATTAGACTTACTTACTTGAACAGTGAGGAACATACACATTTCAGTTGAATTCTAACTGCTTATGACCTCTAAAATATTCAAAAGTAAAATGAAAGAAGAAGTTGCAAGTTCTAAACAACACAGCATGTAAATTACTGCATGTCCCATGATCTACACACAAACAAATATCGCTCCTGGACACTCCTAACAATCATTACTGTGTTAACATCACAGCAAGGGCAAGGGTCAGGGGTCTGCTTCAATCTGATTGGTTTATTGACCCCTCCATCAAGGGGGTTGACAGCCATCAATTGTTTCTGTTGTTAAAGCTGCATCTATACTTTCTATACAGAAATCCATTTTCATTTCAGTCTTCGTGGTAAACATGTTCTACCTGTTTCTTAAAGGTAGGGTAGGTAAGAATAGAGAAACCAGGTCGAGTGCACTAGAATTTGAAAGTACGCAGCCGAAAAAAATCTGCCCCTTCCTTCAGACTTCCTTACAGAGCCCCTCCTCCAACACACACGAACCCGCACATGACCAATGAGGGCACGAGATAAGTTTGTGCACAGATGGAAGGCTGACAGGCAGGTAGGCCATCCAGTTATTTTAGCCGGGCCGGCTCAGATGATTGGTCGTGCTTTTTACAGTATTACGGCTTCCACAGATAACATTTTTTTATGTATTTATTGTCAAAGCATTTCATATATTCATTGCTATCGGGATGTTAAGAGCATTCCATGGAATATAACAAACAGTGTTTTTGAAGTGAATTACCTACCCTACCTTTAAGGAGAGTATGTGTATTTAAAGTATGTGTATTTAAATTGCCTCTTAAAGCAACTGCTGAGGAGAAATCTGAGAAATAACTAAGAGTGAATGCACAGGGGCCATTTCAGCCACTGACCAGACTACACTACAAATCCATTATTCAGGTGACTGTCCAAACGACAGGCAATTCAGGTTTGAGCAAAGAATCGGCTCTCACTGAGGACCTTTCTGTTGTCCTGTTCCCTGAATTATTTATCACTGAGCTGAAATATGGCCCTGATATAGCCAGCCATTGAAAAACATAAGCTTGGGGAAGAAGCAGCAAATAAAGGAAGAAATAGAGACAAGATAAAGGTGTGTGTTAACAGACGGATGACAGATGCTGAACAGAAGACCACTTGGTGAAAAATGATGAGGTTACTTAACAGCAGAAGGAGGCAATTAGAAGACGATTTATCCATTTGTGTGTGAGCTGGCGACAGAGAAGGGATGATGATGTGTTGATACAAAGGCAGAATGTCTTCAGCAGGATTTAGTTTACCTCCTTCATGTTCCCAATCAAAGTGTCTGCGGCAGAACACGGGGACGGCGTGGCGGAGAGACGCAGCTCAGGCCCAAACGCTTTCATCAAGATGTCTCTCTTTCTCTTTGCTTTCTTCCACCTCCACACTGTTGCACCCAGCCCCTCCCTTCTCCGTTATACTCCTCGTCACGCCTGCTGTGTCTTACTGCATTTAGTTTCACTTTTATAGTCATTATCTGTCCCTCTATGCATCTCTCTTTGTTTTGTTCTTTGTCGTTTACACTGTTGTTTGTGACAAACAGCTGAGAGAGAAACGGCATGATCCAGCATGTGGACAATATGAGAGAATAAGTCTGAGTTGATTGATTCTCAGAAGGCAGATTCCACCTCTGCAATGCTGAGTATTATCCCACGAATACTGTTCGCTTTACTTGCCTGACAAACAACAAATGCAATCAATTAAAAACTAAAACTATGCATGAGTTATGATTCATTGTGGATGTAATACATGTTCTTCATTTGGTGTGAAAAATGCTCTAGTCCAAAATGTTCACCATTGCTAAAGATCAAAGGAGATGACGATAAATGGCTTTTGCTATTATCTGTTTTTGCCGACCAACATTCAAAAGCCAAACAAGTTATAAAAATAACAACCACAGGAGACAACAAGGGCATTGCTAATCAAGCTGGTCGGTCACAAAAACTGAAACCTGGTTATGGATGGCAAATTGCCCTAAAAACACTCACACTGCGTTCATTGTGGTAAAATGTCATCACCATATAATCTTGAATATTGCAATATCACTCAACCTTTATTGATGCAGGGGGGCTTTTAGATGTATAGTTATCTTATTTAAAACTGTTTTTCACAACAACAACAAAAAGGATGTTCATTTAATAGATGTAATATCTGTGATTCATTATAAAATGTTTGCTTGAATCAATATGGATTATGTTTTATTGCCAACTAAGTATTATATAATGATTATAGGGATAGTAGGTTGAATTGCAATTATTTTGGCCATGATAATGGTTACAATACATCTGTATTTCGTTCCTAAACCAGATGTTTGTGTTGTTTGATGTTTTGTGTCTATGAACTTGTACATTTGGGTAAAATAAGACCTGCTAGAACAACATGTTCCATATTAAGGTCTAGCTTTTTATTACAGTAAAACATTAATATTAGTTTAAGAGGCCATGTGTCTAGTCTTATCTTGTTTTACTCATTCTGCCATGATGTATTGAGGTGATTTCTCGCCAGGGGGGGTTTAACCATAACTCAGCATCTAACAGACCGGGTCGGACAGTGATAAAAGACTACGAGAGGTTTTAAGGCATTTATCGGATATTTTAAGGTATGTTTGGCCCCCAGGCTGTGGGCACACACAACAGCAGCTTTGATGAAGCCCACAGTGAGCAGGATGGGGAGATGCTTCTGCGGTGAAGTCTCCCCCAGGAGCGTGGGAGAAATACAGCCTCAGAGCCCGTAACTGTGTCAAGCACCTATCCTCCCACATACAGCCCGTGGTTTCTAATAAAACACAGATTACTATGCGAAATCGATATTTCGTGGAGATCAGGGTGCCAAACAGCACACAGAGCGAGGTTAAATCCATCTCCGCAATAAGTCAACACAGAAAGTTGGAGACAATGGCGCTAACAAGTGGTTTTATTAAGATATGTGCACGATAAGTGATGGCTTAATCGGATACAAAAATTACGCTGCGTAAAAGTGCAACTACGCTAAAAGTTATTGCATGCTTTTATTGAGTCAAATGTTTCAATCATACATTATTTATTTGGCAATGTAAGTTATTTGACTGGATAAGGGTTACATGCAAATCGCTATTTATCTCTAGAATGTCTTTATCAGACAATCTGCTGCACACACAACAACAGACATATTGCAGAATAAAATAAAAACACATGAAATTGCTTTAGTAAAAGTGCTCTCTTACCTCTTGTTTCGGAGTCGTGCGCTCAGTGATCCATGTCCGCAGCGTCTCTTCTGTCCTGTGGATGTGCAGCAGCCGAGCACGCGCTCAGCATCACATCCAGCAGCTCCAGCAGATCCAGCAGGGGCCAGCAGGGGGCCACAAACACAGCTGCTCAGTGGGAAGGGCCACTACAGGAGGAGCTAAGGACCCTGTCAGGATGATCACTGACCGACTGGATGAGGAGGAGGAGGAATCTGGAACGAGTTTATCACATCAGGTCTTGGTCTTTGAACTTTAAAACCCCCACTCTGAACATGTTCTGGGCTAAATATTAATATTGTCAAATGCATGTGGAAAAAATGTGGAGCTTTGCACAGAGAGCAGCACAAAAAAGAGATGCAATGCCCCAAGTGATGACATTTGAGTCACCTGGATTGGGGCTGAAGACTAGAGGTTTAATGGTTTGGGTTTGAAGACTGCACATGTGGGATTTAAATAATCTAGGAGTGGGGGGGTTTATAAATGAGATTACATCTGTATGTATAGTCTATGATTTATGCTTGAGCGACATTAGCATAATACATCCTACTGTCTGAAGGTGGGCGAGTTGCTTTATGGGTATCGTAGGCACCAGGTTCTGAAAAGGGAGAATTCTTGAAATACATTTAAAAATAAAAATAAAGGAAATTATGGTGCAAAAATGTTTCTGATCCCCTTTTTTTCTATTGTTTCTATTGCTCATGGTCAATCTGAAGTCAGTGGAGCACTATACAAAGTATAACTGCAGATCATGTGATGGGATCACATGCCAAAGAACATACCAGGACCATAAATTCAGGGAGCCACTTCCAACCCCCCTACTTCCAGTCATTTTAGTCGGACCACAGCCATCGAGCTCTAACTTCATTTTGATGCTTTGTCTTAAATTCCTGCTAAGTGTCTCCAGGAATACAACATCATTTTGTTGTTTTTTATGGCAGAATTCATCTTGTGTTTCATTTGCTGGTGGTGTGGACGCTTTTGTTTCCTTTAGGATCAGACGCTGTGACTTTAGAATTTACAGTAAAGCTCATACTTTAGCGTTTGATCTGTGTGGGGGGATACTGTGAAGCACAACACATGTAGATCAAAGCACGAGATCTGTCAGACAGCATGCACCTCATGACTCATTCCAGTGCAAACCTAGCAACATCACGTGACTATTAGGTTTGCAATGTATGCTATAGTGTTTATGCATTCATGACATAAGGGGTGCAGTACCAATACAAAACAATATAATAGTGGAATGTGTTAGTTATTCCATCATTACATTCAAACAAACATCCACATCCTAAAATACATCTGCAAACAAACCAACTATTGTTTGCATTGCACATTAACATGAACTTAATCAGAAACTGTGGCCAGATTTCTATTTATTCCAGTTATAATATAGAAAAAAAGAGACAAAAGAAATATAACACCAGGTTTGTAGCCCACATTCACACTCCAACTGTTGACCTGCTGAATGTTAACCTCAGACATGTATCTTCAGGTATTATCAGAGAGCCAATTCAGTTCAAAACCCGTCCAAAGCTGCCACCGTTCACATCAAGATAGCAAAAGGGAACGATCTGCCACCAGCTGAAGCCATCATCTCTCTTTTCTCTGGGTATAATAGCTTGTTTCCGTCCCTCGCCCCCTGCAGCTGGTTTCTCTTCCTCTGCTTTTCTGAGGCAGGCTGCAGCTGACAGGACGGTGCAGGCCGGGGGACAATTAGGGGAACGTGGGAGGGACAGCTGGACCTGTTGCCAATTACAGAGACTTCAAACAGGAGTCACACACACAAAGCCAGCTAATGGGCTAACTCTGCACATACACTATAGGCCCATTCGTAGCTGTATGTATATTTAAATGGACATTCTGCAAGGGGAAGTTTAAAGAGGCGTGTTTTATAGGATTGTGTGCATGTTAATGGTCTGCAAATGCTAAAATCCCAAAGTTCCCTCAAAAGGAAGTTTTCTCTCCAACACCCCCTGCCTGAAACGCCTCCATTGGACTCCTTGGATTTCTTCCGTATCATAATGACATCCATATGCAAGACTTGCACTTCTATTGGCTAGGGCTACAACACATTGTACGTGATAGGCTAAGGGGCGGCACATCTTTAAGCGATTGAGCAATCACAACAGAGCCGGCCAGCTAACCAATCAGAGCAGACTGGGCTCTGGTTTCAGACAGAGGGTGAAAAGAGGTGCTGCAGCACAGGCAGTATGAGAGAAATAAAGACCTTTTTGAACAATAAAGCATGTAAACATGTCACAGAGGCACAAAACACAAATATGAACCTGAAAAAGAGCAGAATATGTCCTTTTAAAAACAGTTGTACTTTTATTTATTCATTACCCTAGGATGAAGCTACATAAGTGAGTAAAGGTGCTTTCTGTCAAATACAATGTGGTATCAGCGTACATAAAGTGCATAAAAATGTAACAGAGCAAGAAAGTGACAGACTGATGCAATGTCCGCAAACTGGGACATGAACATGTAGAGATCCCCATCTCATCTGTGACCATCTACATGGTGTCCTACGTCTCATAGTGGACCATTGTCAGCTTCAGTTCTTCATCAGCGTATGATCTTCGCCAGCAGCATGCTCTGCAGCTGCCTGATCCGGCTCGCCTGCGGCAGCTCGATCCGGCTCTCCTGCGGCAGCTCGATCCGGCTCACCTGCGGCAGCTCCAGGCTCCTCTCCGCCCGCTCCTCCTCCTCCAGCAGCTGCTGCTCGATGTAGCCGGAGGAGCCCAGCAGGACGTGTCCCGTGGCCTGCATGGTGAAGATGGCCCATCGCAGAACCTCCCTGGAAGCACAGACACAGAAACAGAGAGTGGGCATGGGTTGAGTAATGAGTCACAGACAAATGAAACAGGCCACATAACCTGGCGAGAGAACGACTGACAGGAAATACGCACAACCTGAGACGATCTCTTTTGGACACAATCTAATGAAACAATCATCTAAAAAAACAAAACCCTTATACTGCAATGTGAGCACAAAAGCCCAATGTTTGCCATGTCTGCAACATGTAATCCTCTCTGACAGGAAGCTCCGTGCCAAAGCTGAAAACCAGCAGATCTCAGCAACGATGACATAACTCCTCCCAAAATTAATCTCGGTAAAATCTAGCCTATGTTCTCCAGCAATCTGATCTTTTCAACCCCGCCACCCACGCAGGTATACACATTAAAATATGAATTTAGACTTGATGTTAGTGGCTGTGTACAGAGCACTGCAACTGGTGGTAATATGTCAGAAAGGATGCTGATACAAAGTGTAAAATTAAGCAGGAAAACAATGGGTGGTTGCATTGCAAATGTGATAATCTGCTTGGTATTTTATGGATTATCACCTCATTAAAATGAATACATTATCCCCCACTAACATGATTAAACTATTGCTAGTGATCCAAATAGCAGTTCAGTAAAACATAGATATGCTTTGAAGAAAAACAAACACAATTATATAACAACTCATCACAAAAAGCAGAGATATTTGGATGACTGTTTCACTCACTTCAGCATGTTTTTGGCATTGTGACAGCGCAGGTCGTAGGACAGAGAATAAACACCGTACATGGTTGCTTTCATGTTCAGGCAGCCGATGAAATCCTTGGGGTGGTTTTTGTAGAGGTCAAAAGTCAACTTGACCACATCTTTCCGCTGCTGTGGCTTGAGCTCACTCAGCTGGTCTTTGGAGGGGCTGTTCTGAGGGGCGAAAGGGACGGGTCAATAGGGAACAGACAAGTTTTGTTGACGTTATTTCAGACACAGCAGACTGAAGCAGCTCCTGCCGATGATGATGGGATAGGAAAATGACAATGAAGCAAGGTCAATGTGAGGTGACCGGAATAAACAGGTAGCGGGGGATGCAAATCACTGCATTTACATGGAAATTAATTTATTGTCCGTACACACAATTCAAATTTGATGACATCTGATTAATATTCGACCTTAGCTTTTAATTTTCCTCAAAAGATTATGAATGGAAAAAACTAATGTGTTACTGACGTATTACTCCCCTATTCAGTCGGAAGGGGACAATATTTGCTGATTTAATTTAACTTATTATTCAACGTGTTATTCTCTAGTCTACAGACGTTTTGTGCTTTCCATATTCATGTTAGCTGCATAAAATATATTTATTTCGGTCACTACATCAATGGCATAACCAGCGCTGCACAAAAGATGGAAATCAATTTGTGGAGCATCACACTGAGCAGCTGATCCACAGTGTCCCCCAGTGGTGGGATGTGAAAGATGTGAAAGATGTGAAACACCATCATACCGGAGGTGGGGTCCACTTGCATTCCTTCTCCAGCACCATGAGGACGGCGTTTTCAGGCAGCGTCTGGAAGTACTCCTCTGTGTCCACCCCTGTGCCGTCTTCATCCAGCACCAGGGCGCCGACACACGCTACATTCAACGAGTCGATGACCTGAGCAGAGGTGGAAGAAGTATTTAGAATCTTTGCTAAAAGGAAAATACTAATACTACACTGTGAAAATACTCTATTACAAGTCCTGCATTACACTTTACGTAGGCAGGAGTTTTTAACATATGATCTGCGCAGTAAGATATTCCCTGTCAGGGTTTTATGTGATGGTTTTGGATTACTTGAAACTGTGGGTGTTTTAAAATATGTTGACATGCTGTTGGGTAGTTTAATCTTCAGCGATTATTCATATTTTATAACTTCATCGTATGTTCATAGTGTTGCTGCCCTCTGAGAACCACGTAACTCTAAAGGGTAAAACTTTCATCTGTTTCCAAAAAAGAAAATGTCTGTTTTCTTACACAAGGGAACACAAATAATTAAAATGCCCACGTCTTGAGATACATGGTTCTAGCTTGACAGGAATGTAAATTTAAGTTAAAAGAACAATATTTATGAAATATAGTGGACTACAATTATAAAGTTGTATACAATGAAAATACTCTAATTTCTGTTATTTCCTTAGGTACAGTACTTGAGTAAATGAACAGAGATACATTCCTAAGGTGTTAGTTTAACACAAAAAAAGTTTTGAACACCAGTTGTAAAATCTGCTGCCTAACACAGAGGCCACCACTTTTCCTAAAAAGATAGAGTGGAGCATCTCCTAAATATGTATATAGAATACATCCACGCTATAATATCAAAATTCCCTTACCTTGTTAATCAGGTCTTCTAGCGTGTCGGCCATGATGCCCTTCTTCACGCTGCGGTCGGCATTTGAGACCCTGAAGGGCTTTGGCCGAGGAGCTCGACCCGTCAGGAGCTGCTGAGTCATGGAGGTCACAGAACTGAGAAAAATAAAGACAAAACCTTATTATTAACTATTAACTGGCAATTGTTTACTATCCTATCCTCATCATGAAGTAGGGCTCTTACCTGGAGAGGGAAGATGGAGTCGGCAGGGTGAGCATCTTCATGGCGTAATCCATCTGAGATCACCTCCACCTGTGATTGGAGGTAGCATCAGGTTTTAGACTTTAACTGCAGGTTCACATCATCACGATCAACATTACTAACAGGCTTCACAGAGGGAGCTAGTAGCGGCTTAAAATGTAAACTGCAGCTTGAGAATATAAACAAGCATAGAAGGTAAATTCTGGTAATTGATGAATAATGTATTGCCTAAATCTCCATGTCAATATAAGGGCAGCAAGATTTCTTTCTGTGGATTATGTTTTCAATTTATCAAGAAAATAATTCAGAAAATGTGTAAAAATGATCAGTGTTTTCTAAAGAGGCAAGATGACATGTTTAAAATGGTTAGTCTATAAATAGTTATATTCATTTTACTTTCATAGAGGAGTAAAGACAACAGATGTTAACATTTGAGAACTAGAGATTTAAAAATTATCAAAATAGATGTTGTCAATTTAACCGATGACAAACTCAAGTTTACATTTTATATAACTCACGTTGTACACACGGTAATGATCTGCTTAAAAGAAACAAAATCCACAACATATAACAAAGAATCTCCTTGTTATAGAAATGTCCTGACCGTGTTTGAGTATAATCCTTATAGCGGTCGATCCTGAAGTGCTGCTTACTCCACCAAACCTCTCGAAAACTCTTCTCTTGTTCCTCTGTCTTGCTCCACTTGGTCACTGAACTTTGTGCTATTGACTGTCGCAAGATGTATTGAGTAATTCTCCATGAACACTCCCACTAATCTTACCCTATAAAAAACTTGGATTCCAGTTATTATATTAAGAAACAGTTACATTAATTGATCCTCTTACAATAACCTTTATCACTTGAACTAATTTCTATTACATTAAAAGTCACTCAGGGTAGAGGTCTATTTGTTTAGTGGCTCTTAAGGAGAGCAGATTTTTTTACATTAGGACGTTGTGGGCAAAATGTCCGTTTCCAACTATATGTTCCAATAAATCAGATTTTAATGGGTCTTTTATTTCTTTATCATTAGTTGTATGGTATAACAAAAAAAGGTCGCAAATACAATAAAAAGCCCTATGTAAAGGCAGTCCATTCATAATGCTAAAATAAATGTATTTGTGATACTAAAGCATGTTTAAATTCACATTATTTCAAAGGGGAAAACTGATAGTGTTTTTAATATATACCTACTCAAACTTCAATTTCTTAAATCACTTTGAGAACCATTTTCACCCTTTGTATGTCATAGGTCACGGAGAATATGTGACATAGGGTAATGTCATCTCTTGGAAATTTCCCAAATTAGGTCATCGTTCATGCGCTATCTTGCACATTGGTGTATCCAGTTATAGAGAGAATGGGTGTAGTTACAGTGTTATCACTTCTTGTTACACAACTAAAGCTACAGGTAGTCACTCTGAGATCACCTGTGTGCACTACAATTAAAACTCAGTGACTGATGTGAACAATGACGCAACAGGAACTCACCAAAGTACAATCTTAAATCTACACATACTGAGTACTGACATTATGGTTAAGCATATTGTTGGTCTACTGGAAAATATAATCCTCTATTCGTGTTTACTAGCCTACTTCTGTGCGAGTAATACGTAACAAAACAAACTTGAGGAACAGTGAACAATCAGCCTATTGTTTTCTAAGATGATTAACATTCAGATAGACTGAGGTAGAAAATTAAGATTATACAACCACTTAAACAGGAAATAGGAGAAACTGGTCACCTTCCACCTCCATAGCATACATTTGTAGTAGCCACATGTGTGCACCAGCCTGTTTATGACCAAATAAAACGCAGTAAAAGACACCGTGACAAAGAATGGGGTTACAGAGAAAACATTCAGACTTACTGTTCCCCTGAGTGTTCCTGCTGTCACATACAGACATAAACCGGTCACTGCCTCAGCGTTAATTAACAACACCTGGATTGGATTGATTAGAGACTGGAGTAAGCGCCATTTTGGCTCCTTTCTCCCCCTCTGTTTGAATACTAGCTGCTGAGCATTTGGAGAACAGTCTGTCCTGGAAGTAAGGGGAACAACTAAATATATTAGACGATGTGAGGAGCCGTTTTTACCGAGCTGTAAACTAGTATTGGCCATAGTTAATTTCTGTAAATAATATGATGTGGAAGGGGAGAACCAATGAGGACACCGTGTGGACAAACGATGCACTGCTTCAGGACCAAAGCAGGCCCACTGATGTGTAACCCCATTTTATGTAAGTAAACTCTACCTTCAGTTATCTAATGTTCACAGACAGGCTCTCTTTGATATTATAAAGTATAATATATAAGTAAATGTTCTATGACAAATGGGAACAACACCATATTTAGCTGATGTAACAAGTACTATTGTGGCAGGTCTTTCTCTCATACAATGATTTATTTAAAGAAGTATTGCAATACCTGCACAAGAATATAGCATAATATCAAATATAGCTCCTGCAGGGAAGCAAGGTTTTTGACCAATGTTCAGTTAAATAGCATCAACTTAAATTATAGTATATGTAATAACATATTTTTAGACACATTACTCTGCAACTACTCGTAGGAAACACTGTTGAACTACCACTTTGTGGACATTCATTGGGAATAGATTTGGGCTTCAAAATAAATATAATATGATTTTTTTATGACATACTATACTTGAAATAATATATAGTATGACATTCTAAACTATGACTTTTTATTGACAAATTAAAACATACATTTACTTAGCTGTTTGTGACACAAGCTGTACTTTTAAGTGATATTATTTCACTTATTTTATGTATTGCTGAGTAGCTAGAACAACACATTGATTGACATTGACAACACAGGTAACTGTAAAGGAGCAATATAGTGGAAAGTAGAATTAAACGGAAAGTGATGTCTCAAAATTGTAGAGTACAATATGTATTTCTTGTATAGAAATACACTTGCCAAGGGTTATTTGTGAAACAACTTGAAAACCCAAAGTGAAATGAGCATTGTGGTTCCTCAGAGTAATGCAGTCATTACATAAAAGCCTCCATATGTAGCCTTGAGTTGTTTTGATAACTGCCTTTATTAAGATGAGTGGAGTTTTTATTTTATTTTATTGAGAATACAGCATTTTGCGACTGTATTTTTAATAAACAGAATGTCTCGTAGAAATTGCACTTTTCTTAATTGCCAGTGATAACGCTTAAGAATTAAGAAAAAGCTTAAGGAAAAACTATTTTGCCTTTCTTAACTAGATGAATGTTAAAATGATTTAATGGCAACATGGATACAAGTTTCCCTTGACGATATGACAGCAGCTGCAGCAACAATACACTGCTAATGTCGGAATAATTGCTGGATAACGTGTTTATTTTACATTACATTACATTTAGCTGACGCTTTTATCCAAAGCGACTTACAATAAGTGCATTCGACCAAGAAGATACAAACTTGAAGAAAACAGAATCATATAAGTACATCAGGTTTCATAGAGCCACAACATTTCAAGTGCTACTCAACTGGCTTTAGATAAGCCAGTCCTTTATTAGTATATAAGTGCTTTATTAGTATATAAGTGCTTTATTAGTATATAAGTGCTTTGTTAGTAATTCTATCGCTCGAAGTGGAGTTGAAAGAGATGAGTTTTCAGTCTGCGCCGGAAGATGTGTAGGCTTTCTGCTGTTTGAAAGGGTTGGAGGGTTTCTGTAATACCCAGTAGTGGCCTTACTTACAGTGCTGCATCATATCATAAAATATATTGTAATATGTGTAATGAAGTCGCTTTAGCTGTTATAAAACTAAAGCTACGACAACCTGAAGTTAAACAAGAAATAATTCAAGGTCATGACGAGACGAGCAGCTTATTTCCCTCTGTTGCTTCATATTTCATGCTCATTGCAGGAGCACAGATGAGTCATGCCACAGATATTAGTGTAATGTAGAGCAGATAATGCATCAGACTTAAAATAGAATTTATTGAGTAGTGAACAAAGGTCTTTAGAAAGGGTCTGTTCTTCTCTCAGAGGTCAATATCCTGCCCGTGCCTTTGTCCCGTTATCACACATCAGACGCTGCTGCGGGTGACGCAAGCTCATTTAGCCCAGAGCCATTCATTTGTGCTTTATGTGTTTGCTGATGCTTGTAATCATGCGCGTGCCTGACATCAATGCAGAGTGAAATGAATTAGACTTGGGCAAAAAAATAATATTTTTTATCACATTGGATTTAATTGAACAAGCTTTTCTTTGAATTCAAGATTACACATGGAAACACAAGAAACCTCATCACAGTTTCTGAGACCAGCTTCATCCTTCTCTGTTTGCAGTTTGTTTTCTACAGAATTATTTCTACTTTCTTCTCTTTTAATTCAGACCTTGGGTGTCGAACGAGGTAATATAATCAGATAATACAAGTATAAAAGTAAAGCAGATCTAAGCTCTAAAGGACAGATACTGACCATAATGACTGATTTCCCCTGAACTAACACTGTTTCTAAGCAGGTGTCGATGCCACGATGTAAGAGGCTAACTCCTCTGTGAGGTTTGTCCTTGGAGCCCCTGAAGCCTCCCAGGGGCCCCGGGCACTTCTTATTTCCTCTTGCCTATCCGTGCCATCAGTTCTGCATTAGCTGCCGCCTTGGTCCTCATGTCCTGGTTCTTGGCCAGGCCTATGAGGACGCTGAGGATGCTGGTGGGCACGTCGAGGGAGAGGGCGAAGCGGGACCCCTGCTGGGCTCTCTTCGGCACCTGGGAGGCCGGGCGAGGGGCTCGTTCTCGACGGAGCACCGTGTGGCGCTCTGATCGGAGCAATGAGTTCAACACCCCGCTGCGGTTTAGGATGTCGACAGCCAGCACATCCCTCTGTGTGTCTTCATCGAGTTTAGCGAGAGAGGAAGTGCCGCTCCTCTGGCTCTGGACACACCACGGCAGCAGCAGAGCCAGGCAGAAACACACACTCACACTCCTCATGGTCTGCAGGGAGGGAAGAAGAACCGATCAGCTATTGGCTCACAATTACATAACTGCACCCGGCATGTCTTCTCCGGCTGATGGCATGCAGCAGGAACTGTGCAATCATTTCAACAAGAAACATCTGGAAACAGCCATTCTTTGCAGATTATATATCATATTGAACTCTCTCTCCATTAGTGGACTTATAACTGGATCTTTCTTCACACTGTTCATTTTACATTTGATTAATATGCCATTCTTTACGCATTTAATGTAAATAATATCCTGCTTTTAAATTATGTTAGCTGTCATTTGGCCCTTCAGAGTGTTATCTTTCACCGTCAGCTTGTATATATTTTACTTTTACTCTTTTTATTTTACAAATTATGGGCAATGCCTTTGTTTTAACATGCTGCTGTAACGAAACTATTTCCCAATTTGGGATCAATAAAGTATATCTTATCTTATCTTAGTTATACAGGAGGCTTTCACATGGGAATACAGAGTGTAATGCAACCATAGGATGAAATTCCTAATAATTTGTAATTGTAATATCAAGCAGTACTCATGCAAGATTAAACTTCAGTTGTCATCCACAAAAAACACACTGGACGCTGATAGGTCAGAAACCAGAGGAGACTGTGAAGTCCACCGCAGACGGACCACTTTTGGACAAAATGTCCTCTCCATTAAAGGCAGCTCATTGTGGAATAGCCTCCCAACTGAGACACGGGATTGTCCCACTCTCAATAGTTTCAAAGGTCAACTCAAAGAATGGTTGAGAAACAAACAGACGTGCAATCACCGCTAAATGCACTTTAACACAGGGGTATCTCCTCTCGCACTTTAGGTAGCTCTTGTATCCTCTCTTGCACTTTATATGTCGTTGCTGCTATATTGTATTACCATGTCATAAATACTTGTATATGCTGCTCTTGCTCTTTTGCACTTTTTGCATATCATGTATTTTGTTTTTGCTATGTTTGTAAAATGTAATTTTCTTAAATGTTTTATGTGAGGGACTGCGGATGGAAATTAGCTCAAAGCTAAATCTGGCACTGTTACGTGTTCATTACTGTGCATTGTCCCTGCCAAATAAACGATTAAATAAATGAAATTGTCCATGCGGGGAAAAAATTACTGATATACCCATTTAGCAATACTTGGCATATTTGAAATCTTCAAAAAGGTATTAAAAGCAAAAATATTTATAACATTTTCTGTATAAATGTAAAGATTCTCAGAACTACTTTTGCTATAAGTTATCAATATTTTTTACAATTTTCTAATAAATCAGCCAATGTTCTGAAATATGGATAAACATTAGAAAGCATCAAGTGTCATAATCCCATTCAGTACTTACTCAGTGTCACTTGAAGTTGGTATCTTGTCAAAAAAGGCACGTCTCCTTCCTCTGGTCTAAAGCAAGGCTTCTGTAATGATCTGTTGTCTTTGCTCCTCAGATATCCTATCTTCTCTCCTCCAGCTTCTTCTTCTTCTTCTTCTTCAGCGACAGGAGGATGTGCCACGCAGTCAGATGTTCAACTGGACTTCTGCCCGCTCGTCCACGACTTGGTTTTTATCTACGTCTGTCTTCTCCGTGACACTGCCCCTTCCCTTCATTTGTATCTCTTACATCTCAACACCCCGTCACCCACCCCTCATTTCATCTCATTTCCTCTGCACTCATTGCAATCTTTCGTTTTCTAAAAATAACATGATGGTAATCACAATAGTTTGCCTTGAATGAATTGGATAGTTGCCCCAGTCTGCAGTCAAAGCACAAGTGAAACATACCGTCTCGGTTCAAAGTTAAGTACCAACGCTGCAAAATAAACCCTATCCCTTTCTTATCGTGGTGATATGAGTCATTGTCACTGATATGCCTAATTTTTATCCCATTACAAATTTAAAAATCTTTGTAGTTCCTATTGTGTTTGTGACATTTCTAATCCTTTCTTGTTTCAAGATTCTGTCTTGATAGAAAATGCTCAGTAATTGTAATAAACATTCAGATGTATTTCATAAGTATCAATCAATCAATCAACAACTTTATTAATCCCGCAAGGGGCAATTGGTTATGAGCAGCAGTTTATGTCATGTACACAGGCAGGAACATACAGGAAGAAAACACACAGATACACCCGGGAGCACAGATGTGGATCATTCCAATTTACACTATAAATAGTTCATAGCATCACAATAATAAATAAATAAATAAATAATCAAGTTAAAAGCCTTTCAAGAATTTAAAAGTTTGAGTGCAGAAGGGATGAATGATTTTGAAAAGCGATTAGTCCTTTGATCAGGTAGAGCATATCTTCGCCCTGATGGCAAATCACTGTCAGATTGTGTTTTAAGTGTGGAAAGTGAATGATAGTTACAAAGATCTATTGTTTACAAAGCCAAACATCACATGTTATTCAGATTACACCTGATATCCTGCAGCAGCTGGAGCTTTTACCCACCTGTAACCTGTTCAATTAAACATGTTCTGATGAATTAGTGAGACTACAGAAACATCTCCTGCACCTTAAATCAGATATTAAGTGGTGAAGATTTTTTTCTACATCACAAACTTCAAAAAAATAGTTCTGCATGAAAGAGCAGGCCCCCAAATTCAATGATTCAATTATACAGGGAGCATTACGTTGAGGGTAACAGCCGCTAAATGTGGTGTCATCAATTAGTTAAGGGAGGCAATTGCATTTCCTAAAATTTGATTTATGTGTTTCATAATAGTTAATAATGAAAGGACTGCAAATCTGCTCCTTTGGATCCAATTTTAAAATGATAGGCTGGATTTAAGATGCAAACATCAGTATCAGTTCTTTGTACTGATTTTGTGTTACGACAGCCCAGTTATATATACATGCGTGTCCTTGTGTGGCACCTTAAATAATACGGAAATGTTCAATCAAAATGCTGAACACTGCGCATTGTTGCGACTTAAAGGAACATCATGTAGTACACAAAGGTCTATTTAAAGCCCACAGAAGAGGAAGGGGGGGTAAGATGGGAGCAGTGGAGCTCTCTGGAGAAGGAGCAGGAAGAGGCTGTCAGACCCAGGAGGGACTCCGACAAGACAAAGGTTTCCTGGGTCAACTCCTGTCCGGACATCAAGGGACTAATCCTCATCCGACTAATGATGGAAATATTACAAGTGCAGCCTGATTACAATAGCTGGGCCCTCAGGGGCCTTCAGGATTACAAACCGTCTCAGTTACCCTCAAATAAACAAACATGGGTCACACAAATGTCAGCCAGCAGCACACATAATCATATATATATATACATGTTGTATTGCATTGTTGTCACAGATACTGGGTGACGCAGTATGTACACTCATAAGATTATGTCATCTCTATGATTCAAGATCAAACATATATAGCAATGTATACTCTATATCAGGGGTTCTCAACTGGTCAGGCCTCGGGACCCACTTTTTCCTTTGTCAATAAATCACGACACGAAATTTTGAACCACTCAAATCTATTCAACTAAAAATCGTGCTGTAATATGTACGCTTTTCAGCATACAATATTAATTAAACTGAAGTACAGTGCATATCAAATCAAGTTTTATTTATATAGCACATTTTTAAACGATTTTTGGTCGAGCCAAAGTGCTGTACATATAATAAAAATAAGAGATAAGATAAGATAAGATAGTATTTTATTGATCCCAAATTGGGAAATTGTTTTTGTTACAGCAGCATAATAGACATTTTACAATAAAACAAAACTACAAAATAAACAAGAATAGAAAGATAAAATAAAATAGAAAATATGCATGTTGAAATAGAAAATATACATGTTGATATATATATATATATATATATATTCAAAATATATGACATATGGAATATGGAGTATTAAATATTGAACAGATTATGTGTGAGATTTATTGTACAGTATTATAGCAGTGGGCAGGAATGTTTTCCAGTATCTGTCCTTGTGACAGCGGAGCTGCAGCAGTCTGTTGGAGAAGGAGCTCCGTTGACTGTCCAGCTGCAGGTGGAGAAATACCCTACAGTGAAGACACTTTACAGCAAATACAACAGCACAGTTTGTGCAGAATATCAGTATGAGAAAACGACACCCTCTGTCCTTAGACCCTCACATCGTACAAGGAAAGACTTCCAAAGAACAACCCACAGTTTAAAGGGGAAAATGGGAGAAACCTCAGGGAGAGCAACAGAGGAGGGATCCCTCTCCCAGGACGGACAGACGTGCAATAGATGCCGTGTGTAAATCGAAGAGATAATACATTTTATATATATCCCTTATATCCCTTCACAGAACAAAAGCATGCTTTTAAAAAAGGTTTAATGAGATGATGGAATCAAAGCTGAACTGTATAACATAAAAAGGCACACATGCTGAAAACCCAACCCCAGCAGGGGGTCTGGGGGGATTCTCCCCCAGGAGATCTTTAGAAATACTAACATATAAACTACGCATTCTGGTACACTCTGAGAAGAAAATAAATAAATCTATTGCTACCCGACATATTAATAATATTTTATGCCATTGTTTGTTTTTCACTTTGTTCTGACATCTTGCTGCTCCTCACAGAGAGAAGAGCAAAGATGAGATAGTGGGTAGTTTAAATTGTGGGTAAGGGTAGATAGCTCCCATTGTTCTGTGACCTGTCAATCATCAAACCGGGGGTCATATTTCATTACGTGTTTATTTTTATCTGAAGTTGTACCCATGGTTGTATAAAGAGTAGTTCTACCGCAAAGTTATTCTCCGTGGGGACTTCCGGCAACAATCGTGACAGTTTTCAAAACCTTTTATGGTCTCCGGTACTTCCAGTCCAACGCCGACTGCATGCACAGCGTTAGAAAATCGGGCCTTCCAATAAAAGTTTGATTTTTTTCCAAAAAAAAAAAAAGGAAATTCTTCACTCACACATCTGGGACCCACTCGAAACGGGTCCGCGATCCACTTTTGGGTCGCGACCCACCAGTTGAGAACCACTGCTCTATATCACAGGATATAGATCACTGATAAACCAGGTATATAAACAGACAGAACATGGGGGAAATGAAAGGATGACAAATGTGACATTAGAGGTCAATCTAAGACGCAGGGATGCTTGTTAATGTGGTTCATGTTTCCTAGAAATCTGAAGACGTGCAGTTTCAGAACACTATTTTTTGTTAGATGGTTAAATTGACCTCTAAAATCACATTTGTCATCCTTTCATTGTTCCCATGTTCTGTCTGTTCATTATATACCTGGTTTATCAGTTGAGTTTAGTATTCATGCCTTTGTCAACGTCTGACAACAGTAATACACCAACACTCATTACCCAACACTAATTCAGACATTAGTTCTGAATACACACGTACATTTTTGTTAGGGAGACTTGTCAGAGTGAAGAGGCTGCAAGGTTTTCTGGCACCAGGGAGCAAAGCCTATCCAGTCCGGGAGCAGAACCGCTAACCCTTCAGTTTCATGCATAGTACCTATAGATTGATCTACTGCCTATTTATTAATCCGTCTATATTCAATTCAAATTCTCAATATTTAACAACACATGTACATTCTCCAGTCGATTGTCTGTTCTCCCCTCTTCTCCTCTCCAAGTGGCATACAAATGTATTTTTAAGAGTGAAATATTTCTTTAACCAAACTGAGCAATAACCAGAACATATTGCTGTTGACTTACACACAACAGCGTGCTTTGTAAACGTGTGTATAGAATAGATGCAAGTTAAATGTACTGCAAACCTGTATATTTATAATACTATATTACTGCACACATGAGACAAACCACAGGTAAGTTTTACAGTATTTTTATTTTGTCAGAATGACAGCTTCTGTTATGTACAATAGAGGACAGAAACAAATGTTACAGAAATTATAAATATACTCTTGCTCCAGACTTGCTGTGTTTAGGCCGTGTCCAGTGGATTATTTCCTATTCAAGTCTGCCCTCTCTCTCTCTCCACTCTGCAAGTCAGTAGCAGGTAATGAGGAACTGGGCAATCAAGAGGTAACTGATGTTTGATTTCAATACTCGCATGAGGAGACTGGCTGCCCTCCTAACTAAGAGTGATCAGTGGGCGGGATAAGAGAGAGGATTATGTGCTGTTGAGCCAGCGAGTGGACAACCCTCAAGTGAAGTCTCTCTCGCAGTGATGGCGGAGGGAAGCGGGTTGAAGATGAAGATGAGAAGCAAACGTGGGACACTCGGAGCAACACAACAATGCTTTTTAAAACCTCAGCCAGTACATGGCACTGCGCACTCTGTTGTAGTCGGGAAGCTGCTCGCAGGGACCTGATGGAGAGAGGCAGGAGGGAGAGGTTAGAGAACGATAATACAGCCTGGGCTCTGACTGTGATACAAAATGACTAAAACCACAGAGAACTCACCGACAGCTGCCACAGCGGGACACTTATCGTAGATGTATTTGCTGCAGACGTCACGCACCATCCTGGGGGTCACGGCCTGAAAGAAGAACAGTGGAGGAAGTCAGATCTCTTATCCTATAGATGGACTAGAAGCCACTTTGAGTCTTTATTTGGGACTCACGTCGATGCGAGCGTCCCACTCTGCCAGAGGAACACGGCGTCCGTAGTTCAGGACGTGTCTGCCGATGTCGTCACAAATTGGTGTTGTTCCTAAAAAGACAAAAGGGTGTGATTATTCATTCATTCATCTTGTTTAACTCGTAGTAAAAAATTCAAATAACAAATACACGTTGAGCAGGTTGTAAAGCCCATGATGGAAAAGAGCAAGGCGAAGTCTTATTTCGCCTGCCCATTACTCAAAAGAAATGCTGTACCTGAAAAAGTTACTGTTACTCATATGCAAGTTGACCCAGACTTCACCACTGTAATTTAAATATGGCAAAACCAATGAACAATACAGAATTCGCATTGACCTTGAGTACAGCACGTTTGTTTAAAAACATTTTGTTAATATACTTTAAAAAATATTTGTTCAACTTATTTTTAGATTTGCTATATGAGCTATCCGTGTTAATGTATCATACATTATAACACCCACAAATCTAAATGCAGAATTCTGTTAGTATGCTTACTTCATCTAGACACAATGTCCCGTTGTCTTTTTGTGTGTTGACTTGGGATTTGGAGGATTTAGTATGAATGTTTTTGTAAATGCTTGACCAACATGTCACCCACCATTGAGCTGTCCCACCAGGCTGGCCTTCAGGGCGATCTTGCCTCTGACCACATCACTCTCCGTCACTGTGGTGCACAGGTTCATCCTGTGGGGGGCAGCAAGTGGAAGAAATTAGTTGAAATATGTACAATGTATAATTAAAAGTAAAATAAGATTACAGTTTTGATGTTCTGCGAGTGTCTCTGTCCCGCAGTCTCTACTGACCAGGCGTTCTGGGACCAGTGCATCATATCTTCAATCTTGAGCTTGTCGGTCACAAAGTAGATGCCCAGCAGGCCGGTGTTGCTGTAGGACGAGTGGAAGGCCTGGAAGCTGTGGCACAGGTCCTCCTCCACGGCCAGGCGGGCCAGACGGCTGCTCAGGTGCTGCAGGGAGAGGGAGGGGAGTTGATATACGATTTTAAAATACAATTTCTTGACGGTTTGACATTTAAATGCAAATTGGACCAGTTTGAAAACGTAAACAATTTATCAATGTTGCATTGGTTTGATTCAGGAACCTTTAGTTGTTCACTTCACACTTAAAACCTTTTTTTAGCACAATATATTTCTGGCTTCTGGCTTCAAAAGCTAATACTAGAAACACACATTATAGGATTTAACCATAACCCAACATATAAAGATATATATATATCAGGGTATATGCAGGCATCCTGAAGTCAAATGTAATACCTTTTAAGACCCTTTCCATACATGTTAAGACCTCATCGCCACTTTGAGTTTTAACCGGTTACATTGTCGACACACTTTACCTCACATTTACTATATACAGTATTGATTGTCCTTCCTCCTTATCTTCCAACCATTTGGACGCAAACTTGCATTTCCCCATAACGATGTTGTTTAACAACCGGCGTAAACGGACCTTCGCGCGCTATCAAGCAGTGAGCGTGCAATGTCCTGTTCAGATGGCGTCAAATCCAACGGGATGCCATAAATAAACTACACAGAATCACACTACACACCTACGCAATGATTACATTCAGGCAGACTGTAGAATACAACCTCTTTGGACAATTCATATACTTATTGAAAACAAGCTACAAAATGTAATACCTTGGGAAATGCCGTTTAATACTTTTTAATAGCCTTAATTTTCGCTGAATTGATTTATCAACTTTTAATACCTTTTAAGACCCTATTTCAGGTCTTGTTCCTCCCGAGATGTCCAGAGGCAGAGGGGAGACCCCTGACCCAGGTCATCAGAGAGGATCATAATCTACCCCTTTATAATGGCCACTCAAGGCACTATCAACCTCAAGTGGGCAAAGCTAAAAGGGGACACTGCTGGATACAATTCACCTGTGTCTTTTCTTAACTGCATTAACCACAATTCCAGCTTAACAAAAACCCATGTCACCAACCTTTCCACCGCCGTAGGTGAGGTCAAAGCTGCCGATGATGGAGTTGGCCACCATGAGAGTCACGATGTCCGGGCTGGAAGCATTGGCGCCTTCAACAGCGATGGCAACGTGACACAGAGGCAGAGCATCGTCACGCATACGGATCTGAGGAGAGGCAGGAGAGGACGAGTTTAACAAAACAATTCATCATGACAAAACCCAACACATCCTCTAAGATCTGTCACCAGGGAGAGCACATCTAATGCAAACAACACATAACTAGAAGGTCATTCATGTTATCTGTAAGTGCTTAATTATAGAACGTCATGTTCAGTGATTTCTTCGACTTAGCACAGTTATACATTTGAAGGATGGTGAATAATGGTTATGTTGAATAGCAGAAGAATAGAAGATCATGAACTCAACCTTTAAAAAACTCTCAACACACCTCACTGCCTGAGAATCTGCAGGGGGCCAGCACGGGGATGGCATCGCCCTCGTATTCGAACGAGACACCGCTGAAGTGAGATTTGGCCAAACCGACCAGCTCTTCGTGGTTCACACCTGAAGAGGAAGCATGCCACATTAACATAACATTTCAAGTAGAAAACCACAGCTAGCAGGGTGCCTCCTCGCAGTGTGTGCGTTAGGATGAAGAGGACGTACCTCCAGCAGCGGACAGCACCATGCGGGGGGCTTTGTAGTGGCTGCCGATGTAGTCCACCAAGTCCTGACGGGTCAGAGTCCTGGGAGAGTTAAATAATTGTTACACAATGGTGCATACTTTAATATAACATGGGATAGATGTACCGTAAGGAAATTAAGAATGACTAACTAACCATAATTAGCATCATCACATCACGGCAGTTTTTACAGCAGTGTGTCTGATGAAAGCTATTCTGAGATTGTGACTGATATTTAAAGTGGACTTATTATGCTTTAGGGGTCTTCCTTTTACTGTAGTGTGTAATAGGTGTTTGTGCGTGTAAATGGTCTGCAAAGGCTGCAAAGTTCTGTCCAGAACGAGTTTCTCTCCCACACACTCCCCCCCTGAGTGAGATCACTATGTAACACGTGTGCTTCTATTGGTTAGCACTGCAACACATTGTACTCATTGTCTCTAAGCCAGGGGTGTCAAACTCAATTTCATCGCGGGCAACACTCTCATAAAGGTTGCACTCAAAGGGCCGGTTGTAACTATATAAATATATAATATATATATCAAATAATGTATTATATTACATTATTGCCTCTGAATTGGATTATTATCGGATAGGATAATAACTTAGTAATTAACTACTTCTGAAAGCAGAAGTCCACAGCAAATAATTGCAAGTCTCTTCAGTGCGCATGTCACAAAACGAGATGCATTGTGGGACATGTAGTTTATGGGCAACCTGCTTCTGTAAAGTGGCATGTAACCGTATAATAAACGTATTATATTCTTTGCAAGCTCTTGCGGGGCCACATAAAATGAAGTCGCGGGCCGGATTTGGCCCCCGGGCCTTGAGTTTGAGACCCCTGCTCTAAGCAGTTGACTAATCACAAAAGAGGGGCCAGCTAACCAATCAGAGGAGACTGGGCTCTGGTTTCAGACAGAGGGTGAAAAATGAAGATATTTTTGAACATTAAGCATGTAAACATGTCACAGTCGAGGTACAAAATACAAATATGAACCTGCAAATGAGCACAATATGGCCCCTTTAACTGTGTGTTTGAGAGTGTGCAGATCCTCTTGCCTGGCATTGCTGGATGGTCCCAGCACGCTGTGTCCCAGAGGAGTGCCCTGGAAGGCGGTGGCGTGCAGTAGGTCCAGACAAACCTCCTGCAGGTTCCCCTCCACCTCCTCCAGCTCGCGCAGCACCACGCCTCTCTGCTGCTCGATGTCTGCCTCGTTCAGAGAGCAGCTCTGCACCACTTCGGACAGCAGCTCCACGGCTGGAAACACAGAGGGATAACTATCTTAGTATGTATGCACTTACTTCTGAAGGTCTTACTAACTTAGACCCATAAGACCAGGAATTTATCAAACTAAAGGGAATACACTTTTTTTATATAGCTCTTTTCAAACATTTTTACACAGTGCTCTCCAATAAAAACAGGACACATTAAAACACAAGAAACTACACACAAAATAAAACTGTGTAAAACAAAGACAATGTAATGAAACCTATACACATTCAATTATATTTGGGATTCTAGATCAGAGAATTTAATTCTTGACAACAATATCTACAATAGTTTTCTACGCAGAGACGGGTCTCCGTTACTAAACCAATGTTCAAGCATCTTCTCTGAACTTCATTTCTTGTTCCTCCCGAGATGTCCAGAGGCAGAGGGGAGACCCCTGACCCAGGTCATCAGAGAGGATCATAATCTACCCCTTTATAATGGCCACTCAAGGCACTATCAACCTCAAGTGGGCAAAGCTAAAAGGGGACACTGCTGGATACAATGAATTTACTTTCGGAGGTTTTAGTTTCAGCTTTTCCTCCCCTTTTCTTTACTGCATAAACCCAAATCCCATCATGATCTGAAGTTCCTCCCACCTTTAGGCAGGTCTTTGGCGAGGGTCTTCATGTAGTACGCTGTGTGCTCGCGGGAGGTGTAGGCGCTCAGGTGGGCTCCCATAGACTCCACCTGCTGCTCCAGGGACGTCTGAGAGTGATTCTTGGTTCCCTGGGGACCGAGACAAATGGTTATTAAAGGGGACTGTGTTATGGCTTTGTTTGGGTAAAGGGTGGAATACCTAGTGATGACACCATAAGACATTTTAGTTGACCATGAACTGACAGAAAAATAATCAAGATTGGTTATCTTTTTGTCTTCATTTTGTTAGGATTTGTTACAAGACCTAATTTCATGTTGTTAGTATCATGGACGATCATTTAAATGACGCGATAGGTGGAAAAGAATATAATTGGTTCTCCAAATAGTTTTCTGACATAATATTTTCTCTCTGGCAACGCGGCACTGATTTATTTAAATATAGCCTGTTATAAAACTGTTGAGTAGGCAATGTAACAAGAACATGGTTAAACAAGGTTAAATCATGTATAATGAACAAATTATGTTTGTTTTTTTCATTCAGAAGTTAATATTCAGCGTGGAAACAGAGCAAGTGTTCCTGCCTCAGCTTCCGATCCATTTGAACACTTTTATGTGAATTATGTCATTAGGAAGCTAAATGAAAGCAACAAATCAAGCCTGACTTTCCCCAGAGCTGTTGGACACACTGCGGCATATCTATGGACGCCTCTCTGTCATCATGTTGCTTAGAAATTAAGCATATATGGGGTGTTTCTCAATGTCGAGGAAGGCTGCTCCAGAGCCACTATTTCAAGCATACTACGTCATCGAGTGCCGCCGAAGGACTGTTCCAATGTCCAGCATACTTGGAATTCTACCGAGGCCGGCGTACATCGTAGCGAGAAATTTCGAGGCTGCACACGTGTATCCTCCGCGATCTTAAAATCCCCACAATGCTTTGCGCACGGACCAATTTCCAAATCTTTGGCGGAAATCGCGCTCCATTTAAGGCGGGGCCTCGCATATGACGCACACCTGTTAGCCTGTTCCACCATTCTTCGTTTTCCGAGGCTAGGAAGGATTTGTGCCTCCCTTCTGAAGGACCTGACTCGGAAGACATGTGCTACCAAGCAAGCGTCCTCGACATTGAGAAACACCCATGGTTTGAGGTAGACCCTGTCCAACATCAGCTCTCTTTTTGTCCATGTTTGTCTACATGACATTAAACTCAGTCCTCAGGTAGACACTTTATTTACCTCTACCCTTCCCAGCTGATGGAAACACAGCTTGCACTTTCTATTTGTGAAACGTTTTAACATTGCCTTCATCACAATCGTTTATCTATCCCTGGGAACAATCCTTCTTTGGCATTGGGTCCTTTAGTTTGTTAAGAGCGTCCTTGTGTGCATGCAGTTATTACAACTCTGTATTATGTATGAAGTATTTGTAAAAGCCTTCTATTTGGTTACATGGATGTTAATTATGCAGATTTCAAACTTTGGAGGAACATCACCTTTGCCAAAGTATAAAAATGATGAACCCTTAAGGTCATGAAGTCTAGAAATGTGTACCTTGAAAGCCATGTGCTCCAGGAAGAAGCCTGCTCCGTTGTTCCTCTCAGTCTCATAGCGACTACCAGCACTGATCCACAGTCCAACCTAGGATAGGGAAGAAGAACAGGGAAATATTAATCAAAGCCATTTTTAGTCAAACAGTCCAACCTCCTTAATGGCTGTAAATAAATCCACTACAATCGGTTCTTACGGTGCAGGTTGCATGTCCGGTGTCCTCGGAGGCGACCCTAAAACCGTTGTCCAGGGTAGTGAGTTGAGTTTCAGGGGCTCCCAGCAGGCTCTGGGCATAGCTGACTGAAGACTGTCCGCGCCTCAGAGACAGCAGGATGGGCTGCAGGGGTAAGACATCAGTCATTTTATAATCCTATACAATTCAAAAATAGTGTTCGGCATTGTTTTTATCTCAAAAACATTGGACACCGCTTTTGAATGTTTTCATCATCATAAAATATTTTTCACATGACTGCATTGTGCACACATGATTCATCTTCTTTGTATTATTCTTACCAAGCAAAGGAGGCCACATTTCAAGTTAAAATGACAAAATGGAGCATTTTAGAACTGTTATCTTGTATTGCAGTATTCACCTTCACACAACCTATTAAATTACTATGTAATACATGCACAAATAACACCCTTTAAAGGACTTCACATCAAGAATCTGAATTGTAGACCTGTGTTTCCTGTTTTTACACACAAAGTGGCAAAAGCAAGCTCAATTAAGTAATTTGTCAACATGCCTAGGTCTGATCGTACTGAAAACTTAAAGACTATTCATCCATTTAAATAGACAGCAATAGTAGAAAAGCTTGGCATAGGACAACATCTAACCTTAAAGCTAGCAGCTGACATTGACACCCCTGCCCTCTTATGCTATCTGCCAATGACTAAAAATAGACAAAACCATAATATCAGTATAATAAGTTAAATTCAGGTGAAAACATCTAATTTAACGCATCCATCATTTTACGCTGTACGGCAATGGGCTGTCATTATATAATCATTTCCCTTCCGGACTGAATATACAATAATTGGGATGTTTTTCTGAGAACATCTAGGATGAAGGTAGTTGCTAAATGCAGTATTCATAGAATTATAAGTAGTGCATGATTTAGGATGAACACCCTGAATCACATTACTTTTGAAGTAGTTGCACAACCACTAATATAACATCTGTGTCCCGTTGACAATTTCTTAAGGTTATTGTTCAGATTTGGCATACAATTACTTACAACAATCAAACATTTTGACAGTTGACATTAGTGCAGGATTGTCACTATCTTCATCTGCCTGTCCAAAGTCACAATGCTAATGCTGCTAGCCATGAAGCTTAGCTTTAGAAACTTAAAGAGGGCAAGCGAGGACAAGCGAGAAACGACACAGCTGATGACCTTGCGACAGACCGAAATGACGACCAGCTTATCTGGATAACACGTATATAAATCGGATGGTATACATGGGGTGTTTATTACAAGACGTGCTTTTAAGTTTGACAGGTGACCTTGCGTTCACTGCTAGCTAACTAATGCTAACCGCTTCCCGTTCGCTGAACATCGGACAGCTAAGCTAGCCGGTTAGCATGCTAGCCTGTTAAGTAATCAGGCGGTTTACCCTCTTCGGTTACTTTTAGCTTCGCGTCCAAACAAGTAGAGCATCGGTATAACGTTTACATATTTCAAAGCCTTTAAAAGTGAACTTACATTTCGGGATTTGGCGAGGGCTCGACCCACGGTGCTCCCTACTCGGCACACGGACGCCGCCATTTCTCAGTACGGTTACAGACGATAAGGGAGTCTGTTCTGTTGTCGTGGGTCTTCTTCGTCTTCGCTGTCAGATACATGTGTGTCACCTGTTCAACTAAAATGTGTAGTATCGCCACCAACCGGTCATGATGTGGTATTGCAGGTGACTTCAATTCAGTATTGCTACTTTACTTTGTTATTGACAACTGATTAGCAAGAAGATTTTGAGTTAGATTTTGTAATCTAAAACTGTATTAAAATGAATTATTATTAATACATAATCTGAACATTGATATTGTATAAAATACTCAATGTATACATCTTTCCTGTTGATATTTACATGTGCCGTTGTTTCGTTTTTTTAGTTTATACAAATATCTGCCGTCTGTGGTTATTTTGTATTTCATAAAACCCTTATGTTGTGTTCGGGTCTCCCGTGACCCGTTTCAAGTTAAAATTATATAATAACTACGCTCTAGTTTTTTTTATCGGAACATTTTTAGCCAAGTCTGAAGGTCTCTAAAAAAAAGTGTATAATTTGGTGTTCGGGTCTGGGGAGACCCAGCAGAATTGTTTTGGGTGACTCGAGGTCAAATTTGGCACAATGAAGATTCATCTTTGACTTTAGACACCCCTCCCCCACCCCTTCATACACTGTAACAATACTTTTTCGCAACATGCACCTGGGGCCTCAAACATCTCCAGGTTAGGAAAATCCGGCTTCGTAGTACAGGCCTCTGGTCTCCCCTCCCTCTGCCCCCCTCCCCCCACGGGAACTCCACCTTTCTCAAAGAATATGTACAACACTTGAACCTGAACACACACATGCACGTGTGCAATATGTGGTGTAATGTGTTTTGGGCCATAACATTACATTACAACAGGATTGTACGGTTGTGAATGCATTATAAGTTAGTTATGATGTAGTTAAAACAATATTGATAGTCATTTTTTGGGTGTGTTTTGGACTGAGATAAGTCATGGGTCAAAATTGACCCACGAACACCATGAACGGTAACAGCTTTTGAACACAACACAAAGGATAATTGTCTACATGCTGCTGTGACAAAATCATTTCCCAAACTAGGATTAATAATATAATATTTTTATCTTATCTTATCTGAATTAAAATGTATAACTATTAACACATACTCATACCCTGAAGGTATCTAGCTGAAATAACGGGAACGGTTGTCGTAGATCACATTATTGGAACAAATAAATAAATAGTGAAAAGAAGACTTAGTTATTGAATGTCATCTTTATTATGAGGTAGGCCATACAACCCTGCAAAAAGAAAGTTGAAGCTGTAGGAGTGTGTGAATTATTTGGTCACATTTTTTCATGCACTCGAGGAGCTGGTGGCTGTTTGTCTGGGCTGTTTTGGAATAATCTCTAAAGACAAAGAAAGACCCCGGCCGTTCTTTAATGTACAGGGTTGGAATTTCTGTGAACAGACTTTTTGAACCACTCGTTTCCTCTTCCACAAAAGGACAGAGCGAGACTGTATATTAACGGGCAGTTGGATGGTCCTCACGGTAATTGGCAGCTGAACTGGGAAGCCTTTATTAGTGACAGGCACAGGCGGATCAGGAGGAAGAGTAGTACGAGGTGGAGTAGAAATCCCACTGATGATGTTTTTGAACTGACTCTTCAACAAGATCTTAGGTAGAGGCTTTACTTTTTCTACCACAGGCTCCTTCTCTCTGCTGCAGCGTTTTAATCCTGGACGGTTCAGTGGAGGAAGTGTGCAGGGAGACCTGATCTTGTTGCCCTCAACAAGCAGGTTGACTCCTACATACTGTGGCACGTCTACTGCTGCCTGGAGACCAAAAGTGATATCTATGGTAACAGATATTACCATCAAATTGTGTAACTGTACACTATTATAACTCTTCCTTACCGGCTTGTATATGAGCTGGAAGTCCCCGGTGTTTGCAGTGCGGTCCGCTCTCCGGTCCAGGACGACTCGTATTGTGTCTTCCTGCACAGCAGAACAGAGGCGGGCCGTCACCGGGGTGGAGTGAGCCATCGTGGGACTGGCATTGAGTTCTATCAACCAGGGGCGCAGGTCATGGCCTAAAAACACACAACAAAACATCCAAGGGGTCACCTACACCTACCCTTTATTTATTTTTAGAGTAAATGTGCACAAAAATATTAGAATGAAATCTATATTGGAACAGTCAATTTTTATTATATTACCAATATATTATCAAACGTAAATTCAACTGTGATAAACCCTGGTTTACTCTTACATTAAAACTGCATTTATTTATACTTTACATTTCAACTTATATTGTTGTTTCAGGGTTCATACACTTTTTCACCAATGATTTTCAATGACTTTTCCACGACTTCTCCATGACCTTTACCTAATTTTCCATGACCAAAAAAATTACTCTTTCTCAGCGGTACCACATGGAACAGGAAAATAAGGTCTGCATATGAAACATGCCGTATCTAAAACAAATCCAATAGTTGGCTTACTAGCTTCTACACGCTAAAGCAACTAAAATCTCTCCCCAGCAAAATAACTCGACATGCAGTTAAATGCCATTTTACGTTTCATTACTATACGATACAGTATTTATTATCATTATAGTATTACTATTTCTGCGATTAGATAAAATATAAATTATATTTGATGCAACTTTAGTTACATTTCCATGACTTTTCCAAAACTTTGGGAAAAATATTGTTTTCCATAACTTTTCCAGGGCCTGGAATTAGCATTTAGAATTTCCATGACTTTTCCAGGTTTTTAATGACCGTAAGAACCCTGTGTTTATACTAGTCTTCAACACACTTAAACCATACATTCAATATTTATTTAGACTGCTGTTATATATTGTAGTTTAAATAAAACAATTAGGTTAACATATTTCCTATTTTTCTATATTTGTTATTTCTATATTGTAGTATAATACAAATATTTTACATACTTATTTAGATGTTTCCTATCATTTCCCTATGTTCCTGAAAATAATTGTTTTAAATATAAGTGAATGCATGCAAGCGCTTCATATTACATATTATAATAATAATAATTCCTTATATTTATTATAGCGCTTTTCAATGACTCAAAGCGCTTTACAGATACACATTACACATACATACATGTAATGGTCATGTACTGTGGACAATACCCACAGGAGCAAATTCAGGTGAAGTGCCTTGCCCAAGGACACAACGGCTTTACAGACGCAGCGGCGGCGGGTTTCGCCCCCTTGATCTGATGATCAATGCACAGCCCACTGCGCCACATATGCGCCCATCTTCACACCTCAAAGTCATCAAGGCGCTTTACAAGTACACATTAATATCATACATGTACTGTGGACAATACCCACAGGAGCAAATTCGGGTGAAGTGTCTTGCCCAAGGACACAACGGCGGCGGGAGCGGGTTTTGAACTGGAGTTCCCCAACGCCACTCCGCCTCATTATATGTATTGGACATGTAATGAATCAATACTGTATACAATGTATATAATGCACAGTGATATAATCCTACCTAGCATGAAGTCGGCACCGTACAGTTCGAAGGTGTTTTTGCGTGACTCCATCAGATCCTGTGTTGTCTGTAAAGCGTGGATCACAGCCTTCTTCATCCCGGGGACCACCACCGTCTGCCACTGAGCTCCCCTCCCCTGGCTGCACAGGAAGGTCCTGAACTGATCGTCAGACCACATGTTGTCTGCTGGGATACCGTGGTGGCGCTGCTGGGAGGGTATCAGGTGCTTTTGGATGGAGTTATTGCACAGGTGGACAGAGCTGAAAAGATGGAGTAAAGAGAAATAAGAGGAAATGGGTGATATGGGAATGAGAGAAGTATAATGAGACATGTTTTTAAAGGGCATGCTTAGAGAAAGGACTCAAGACTGACTACTTTATACTCTACAAGTGTTATTTTTATAATTCTACCAGGACAGAAGAACTGTAAGAAAGTAAGATGGTAAGAAGGTAAAGTGTCAAAGTTATTTTTCTAGTATTTACTTAGCACAGAAACTTAAATAAACCGGATAAAAGCTAATTCAGCTATGACAAGCAAAACCTGTGACGCCTTTCTTTCTCTTACTTCACTGACTTACTTGTCCATTGTATTGAGCGAGTAAGGCTGCGTAGAGAAGCGCACGTAGCACTTTTTGTAGAACCACACAGTCAGAGGGTTCCAGTCGGTGACCAGGAACCATTGGCGCAGGTCAAACTTGGTACCATGGACCAGCAGGGGGCGCTCCAGGTACTTCTGCACCACCCACTTGCTTTCCTTGATTAGGGTTGAATCTCCATCCACCAGCTGGAGGATCTGATCCAGATGCTTGGCACATTTGATGCCTGTAAGAGATGTTTGACAGATCAGCCGGGACTCGGTCACATTTTGTGTAAACTGTTCGATTGTGTCTGACTTCTCACCTCTGCCCCTGGACATGGCTCCCGGTTTGATGATCCAGATGTTGTGTATGCCGTCGATGTCCAGCTGGGGACTGACCTCCACCAGCCTCTCTAGCATGGCTTTGCAGCAGTGCACAAAAATATCACTGTTCTCGATCTTTTCCCCTCCACTAAAAGAGACAAAGAGAGTGGGGGACTGTATAAAATACTGAACGTCGCTTTGAATCACACGTGGGATCCCAAATGTGGAGATTAACTGGGTTAGAGCCCTAACTACTGGCTTCACTGAAATGGAGCGCAAGGGAAACGCTGCAGGATACCTTGTAGTCTGGCACATTATAGTTAGCATGTACGCACAACCGGACTTAGATGGAGGCAACGGCCCCACACAATCTATACAACAAATCACCTCTGGCTGGAAGAGAACTCTCTGCTCCATAGTTTCTCTAGAAATAAAACCACCTTGTACATTTTACTCACACATAATCTGTTTCATATTTAATACTCCATAATTCCATATATTTTGAATATATATATATTTGTATATATATATATATATATATATATAATATCTGTATGTATATTTTCTATTTTGTATTTTGACATGTATATTTTATATTTTATTTTATATTTTATTTTATTTTATTTCTATTCTTGTATATTTTGTTTTATTGTAAAATGCCTTTTATGCTGCTGTAACAAAAACAATTTCCCAATTTGGGATCAATAAAGTACGATCTATCTATCTATCTATCTATGATCAAATGCTCAAAAGGTTGGCCAAGGGCTGGAATGGGACTGAGGGGAGCAGGCTTAACCACCTGACTTGGTTTACCAGTGAGCTGGCATATGTGGCATGCTTTAACATAACTTGCAACATCGCGCTTTAACCGAGGCCAGAAAAAATAGCGTAGGACACGGTCATAGGTTTTTTTTATCCCGGTTGGCTTTCTTTTCTTACACACACACAACACTCACTGAACAACAAGTTGGTAACTGTGGATAAACTCTTCCCACTGCTCCTCTGTAAGTGGGGTGTCTAGGTTTCTGTCTATGTCACGATGCTCCAGACTCTCCAGAAACTCCTGGCATACTTTGAGAGCGTTGGTAATCATTTTGGAAAGGTCCATTGGTCTGGATCGCTGTTTGCTTCGTTTCCTCGCAGCCCGAGTGTTGTGGCTCATTCCTTCTGTCTGAACGCCTTCCTCCCTCTCCACAATATACTTCAAAAAACTGGTGCAGGCTGTCCTCCTGTAGTCCTCTGCAGAGGAAGCAGACAAAGAGGAAATTAAGCTTTTAGTACAAGGATGCTGGAAATCCATTATACTACACGTGAGTAGGATAACATTTCAATTAAGAGATATCAACATGAAATGTACCCATTTCATTCCCTAGTGCAAACATGAAATATGAAATTAGACATTATCTTATTAAATATGTGATTGTTTTCAGATAGTACAGTTCTGAAACAGAAATCTGATTATTGGATTCAAAGTTCTTGTTTCATTTTGTTGACATATTAGAGTCTAAGGTTTTACAGAGGGAACTTTGGATCTCTTTGTACCTCTAAAAAAGTCTGAATTTCCGGGGAACAAAATGTGATGTCAATCAGACTATACTGTTGAGGTCTCCATATTAGGTTGAATACTTAAAACGAAAGTTAATTATAATCAAATATAATCAATTATATTCTTGTATAACCCAAAATGAAAATGCTTCATATTTTATGATTTTCTATATTTACAGTAACAATGTTAAAAATGATGTATTCTAAATTTGCATTTGTATACATTTTGCATTTGGGTCAAAAGAAGTTTAGTTTTTAGTTGAATAAAACAAAGATTTCTATTTTGGATGTTTCCTTTCCACTAGTCTGAATGAAATCTTGTCATTAAGGCGAAATAGTCGGTCAGATCTCACAGATGAACGCATGCTTTTCATCCTGTGCTGCCAGTCTGTAACAGCGTGGAAAGAAGGTGTCCGGGTCAGCGGCGTCAAACCAGTGCAGCTTCCTCAGGTTCACACACAACCCCGACTGACAGAGAAAATACATTATTAAACATTAATGTTGGGTGTGAGACGAGGAGACCACTGCAGTCATTTTTGATGTAAAAAATGACAATATGTACCTTGGTGGTGAAGCTGCCTGCTTTTGCAAAATGATTGATAATCTGTTCTTTTTGCAAGCTGTTGGGGTTTATGGCGTCTCTACGCATCGTCCAATAGAAATAAACCATTTCATTCCGCACCAGGCGAGACTGCATGAGAAGTGGGGAAAGAGGAGAGCTGAATCTGTTGATTTCAGCTAATAACCTGATTTTCTGAAACGTTTAACATGGTAAGCAAAAAACTATTTTTAAATATTATATTTACCATGATATCATATATTCCATCAGGGTCCGGCTCTTTGTTGACATTGTCTGAGAAGAAGGATAAATGTTAATAAATGATGGGATATACACAGATATCCGCACCCAGTAAAAAATGGACTCCCTTTATTATAGCTGACCGTCATCTTCATCGCTGTCAGCAGAATCTTTAGGGCTGCCCTCCTCGCTGTGACGATGGTGAATGGGGGGCTTTGGGCAGTGCAAACGCTGCTCCACCCAGCCTCTGGCCCTCAGCGCTGTCCTGATGACAGGGTAAGGGCCCTGGACAGAGAACACCTTATGCATCTGAGAGGAATGAGAGCAGACACCTAAATATTTGTAGAACATTTTGACAGGTATGTGACCAGATAAATGTTTTGTATACAGGGTCGGGGTGTATATTCAGTGATGTGAACTCACCCTGACAGCTTTGTCCACCTGAGCTCTGGCTGTCTTCAGTCTCTCTGGATTGAGTACAGGTAAGCTGACAAGACTGCGGGGGACTTTGCCCTCGGGAGGTGTACCTGCCGCTAGAAAAAATTCAAATATATCAAAACAAAATGTGTAATTATACTGTTAAATTGTTATAACGCTTATCATATCGACATGTAGTGGAAACCTACTTGCTTGCAGGCCTTTGCCTTCATCTTGGGTGTATTTCTGGATAAAAGCTGTGACTTTCTGATCCTTTGACAGACCTTCTGTTTCCCCTGCAGTAACAATAGGATTTGCACAGTAATGTATAAAGTATTTTGGTGAAATGGCTCATGTAAACCGGTTTTTGCAATCTGAGCCAGAACAAAATGATGTAAGCTCTTCATAACAAACATGGCATAGTCTTCTTCATTACATACAGTAACATGACAACAAGTAGCAGTCCAGTACATTAAGGAGGAGAGACTAGAGGAATAGTCACAAACTCAAAATGTGATATATCTATCTCAGAAAACAAAATGTCCACAATTGTGATGATCAATATGGCATAAGCCTAAATGCATAAACCAAATATAACAGGACAGATAATAGATTTAATCAGGAAACACAGTGTGGTCATGGCCAAAGACAATGTAACTAAAGGCTGGCCATCTTTAGCTTGGAGTTAAAAAGAGCAAAGTCATGACACTTTAATAAGCAGCCTCTGAGTTCAAACATTTAGCCACCTGTCCTGAGTGTGACCTCATGTTTTATTCAGCATTCATAAGCTGCCTGTGTATGCTGTCCTTTGGAGGTGTTAACTCATACAGAAGTCACGTTTCACGTTTCAGTTTGGAAACAGGTCTGCAGCAACAGTAACAAACCCATAATTGCACCTATTGTTTGAGTTGTTAACTAACAGAAATAAAGAGACACTTTTTAGAATTGTCAATCAAATTTGCAGTAGTAGATGGTTTCAATCCTGGGTTATGAATTAAGGTGATAAGACCACCCTTTGACTAACATTTGAAGATATTTAGTCCGTGATTTCCAGTAGTATATATCATGTCTGTTCTTTGGGTTAATCACACGTGTTTTCTTTGTTGCTTTAACTCACCACTGTCTGGGCATGTTGTGTAGCGTCTATCAGTAGCCAGATGGAAAGGTTGTTTGGATTTGGTGGTCTTCATACCAACATTGGTCTTATTCTTCTGAGGAACCTCTGCTTTTGCTCTGCTTCATGGTTTAGGATATGCACTGCTGCAGGGGACAACATCTAGCATTTATAACGTGTAAAGTGTACAACTGTAACACAAAAAAGGTGTACAATACAGGGATTAAAACGATGTAAACAACTGCAGGTGTCATGCATCTCCAGCTACTGGTCGAGTGGATCCGTCTCTCTTCAAGTGCACTGGACTATAAAGTAGGTCAGCTTACTGTGCAGGAGAACACCCCAGGCTGGCTGTGATATTCAGTCTGATTTCCTACTTGCCCAGAAAATAAATGCTACTACAAAGCCGCCCATATTTTTAAACTAAAACTAGCATCAACGTCACAACCTGCCCACACTATTTTTAGACCTATACTGAGAAAGTTGCTCAACACTGTCTCTTAAACTGGAAGGATATAGTCAGCATTTAAAACCGAAGCTCTGACCTGTTGGTTTATTGTTTGTTTTCCTCTTACCTGCTGAGGTTCACGGGTGTATAATCTCCGTTGAAGCCGGTTCTGTTTCACCGGAGGAACTCACGGTGCGCCTGACCAGACTCGAGCTGACTGTGGTTCCCATGGCAACAGCACGACGATTTCATCCTGCTTCCTGCACCAACTGCTGAATAAAGGGGGGGGTTTTCAAAATAGTTGTTTACCTGTTTCACTAGGATATTAAATATCGTCATGCTTATGCCCACGTGGAGGAAGTACACCGATTATTTACTGAAGTAAAAGTAGTAGCAATTTAAAAATAGTCAGTTACAACTATAAGTACATTAATGTTGTACTTAAGTAAATAATATTCACCAATCCTGCACTCGGTAAAGATGGGGTTTATTTGTAATACATTTATAAACTACTGGTTAGCTTAAACTTTGCTAATATAATAAAATGTGTGTAGATTTACCTATAAAGAAACTGCCAATAAAATATGCAAAGTATCTAAATGTGTACAAAGTTTAGTTTAAAAACATCTTCGGTGATTTCTAAACAAAACGGTAGCAAAATAAAGCTTTAAGGCATTTTTTCAGTTGGTCAAAAATAAGTAGAGGTTTTCTTGTTCGTGTAGAAAATGTTTTACTTTACACCACTGGGAAAATGTCAGTATGGTTTTTTCTTTTTTTGTCTATTTTGGATATTTGTCTGTTTATGTCGCCATCTTGTGACAGGAGGAGGGACTGCTGTAGGCCACGTCACGGTGTCACGTGTGCTTCTGCCCAGGCAAATCCCCGCTCTACTTTCAGATGTGTACACATAGCCTACCTACACACATGCACAAACACACGCTGAAAACACAACACATATAGCTAATAACAGCAACTTAACGATACATACATATCAAACACACTCAAAAACAGGTAAGCCGAGGAACGTTGTTAAATGCCTTTCCAGCTATTTGAAATTAAATGCATTTGTTTGGACAAAATAACTCAAGCTAACATGCTAACATTGAAGAACTTACCTTGGAAATGTCTGTCTGTCAGGTGCATGCACAGTTGTTTTCTCGCAGTAAAATGTGTGGAAGGACTGCGTGCACCCTTGCTCCTGACGAGGTGAGCCGAGCCTGCAGCTACAGATCCCGGGGAGGACAGAGGAGAGAGCCCCGCTGGAGGGAGGGAGACGCGGATAAATACCGACCGTCTTACAACAAGAGCCCGCAGTCCATGAGCCCCGTCCTGCTGTCCCACAGACACTTTGATAAGGTAGTAATGTCTTTATCCTGCCCGCTAAGTAGAGGTAAAGGACGCCACATAGGTAGACAGGTGTACATTTCAAGAGACATTCCTGAAAAACTTCTGAAAAAACATATAACGATTTAATGTAATATTCTTTAGGAACAACACCAAAAAGAAGAGCTATAATAATCAACGAGATACTTCTTCATATAATATTATTTGTATGTCTTTACTAAACAAGGACCATGTATAAAAATACATTAATCTCTAAAAAAGAGAGGAGATGATTCATGCCAGATTAAGATAGAAAACAACACTTAAAACAATACTTTAACATTACTTTTTATGCAGAAAGGATAGAGAAGCGTTTCTCCGTCACATTCCCAATAATATTTTTCCATTGTAAGCCTCAAAAAGGTATGTACTCCTGCATATAGACATGGGCATGGCACACTATTAGCAAGTAGCTTATATATATTTACATCACTCATCAGGCACAAGAAACAGAAAAATAAAAATGGCCATTTTGCATCCTCATTGTGGGTGCTCATGTGTTCACTCCTTGTTTGTGTTCAGACTGCTCCTGTCGATGAGTGTGTGTTGGCCTCCATGCGTTGGGGTCTGGTGCCCGCCTGGTTCAAGGAGAATGACCCGCGCAAAATGCAATACAGCACCAACAACTGTCGCAGTGAGAATATACTGGAGAAGAAAACATACAAGGTACAAACGGTTTGAGACAATGCTAAGCTGTTGTCTTTCCTGTGTTTCATGACACAATCATTTTATCGTGTCCCCAAAGGACCCTCTGATAAAAGGGCAGCGCTGCGTCATCCTGGCTGATGGCTTCTATGAGTGGAGGAGGCAGGAAAAAGACAAGCAGCCTTTCTTCATATACTTCCCTCAGACTAAGGGAACCAGTGAAGAAAAAACCGAGGATGAGGACGACCCCATGACCTCAACCCGCAATAAGGAGAACTCAGAGACAGCGTGCCCTCCAGAGTTGGCCTCCCCTAACTCGACTCAGGTTCATATTGGGTTTTCTGCAGCAATATAAGCACTATGAACATTTCGCTTTCATCCAGAATAGAAGAATGCAGCTGTGGCGGAAATTACCACGGCTGAAAATATCCTGTGTGGGAGAGCAGCCAAAGCAAAAATGTGCATGTGTCCGCCAGGTGTTTCTTTAGCTTTCAAAGTAACATTACAAAGTCATGCTTTAGTTTGGATGCTGGTCTTTTTCTATTAATAAAATCAGCTAATTCTTGTGGCCATGCCTCTCTATGTTGGCCAGGGAGGAGAACCAGGTGAGTGGACTGGATGGAAGCTGCTGACCATGGCTGGACTGTTTGACTGCTGGACGCCTCCCGGTGGTGGAGAACCCCTCTACACGTACAGCGTAATCACTGTGAACGCCTCCAAAAGCCTGGAAAGCATCCATGACAGGTAAGGATCGTTCATGGGGAAAAGTGCTTTTTTTTCTATGTGTCTGAAATAAACCCTATTTCCTGATTGGTTGTGTTTTTAGGATGCCAGCTGTCCTGGACGGTGAGGAAGAAGTGAGAAGATGGCTGGATTTCGGGGATGTGAAGTCTCTGGATGCCTTGAAGCTGCTCCAGTCTAAAAACAGTTTGACTTTTCATCCCGTCTCCTCGTTAGTGAATAACTCTCGGAACAACTCCCCAGAGTGCCTTCAGCCAGTGGATCTCAACAGCAAAAAGGTAATTTAACTTTGTTTGGAAAATGTAGCAATAAAGTTTTAGATTTAAACTGAACAATCTGACTCTTGACCCCCCCCCAGGAGCCCAAACCCACAGCCAGCAGTAAGATGATGATGAGCTGGCTGAAGAGCAGCGCACCTTCAAAGAGGAAGGACCCCGACACGGGCGAGAGTCCAGAAGAGAAAGAAATCAAAGCAGAGGCTCAGAGCAAATCTGCAGGAGGCCTCCAGCAGTGGCTTCAGGGGGCCAATAAGAAACCAAGAACCAAATAAAGATGTGAACTTGTACATTTAAGCCATATTTATTCCTCTTCTCTATAGTATGCCTTTGCGTATAAACCAATAGTATTTTAAGATAACGCTTCACATGTTTGTACCATTTCATTTCAGTATGTTAATAAATGTCAGAAATAACCAGCATGTTTTATTCAAGATTTTTTATTACCCTTATTACTTGAAACGCGAAGACATTTCGCAACAATGTAGATTCTATGCATTTATCATATTAATAATATAATAATGATGAATGCCAATACTCCCCCCACCCGACATTTGTTTTCTTCTTTCAAAGTTACAGTATGTATGCTATCTTGTAATCTATAATGCATTTCAAAGTTTTAACATAATATGAACAGACAGTTAAAGATCTGATCGGTTAAAAGAAATGTCAAGCACTTAAATCGTTGGCCAACGAGCGACTGGCAGAGTCGGATATGGAGATTTACAACACCACGCTTTGCCCCCCCCCACACAATGATTGAGAGGTTTGCAAATATGCAAAGTCTTGCAATAGTTGACAGTAAAAAGAAACTAATAGCATCAGTTATGAATGGTGATGAGAAAGACCTCTCTGCTCAGGTAGAATGACATGCTGTCTTCATTTGGTTCATTCCCACGTCAAATGTACCAAAAACAATCGGGTATGAGATGCACCTTCACTTCCTCCAGTGGATAAACAGCGTGTTAGGAGCCCAGTCACACAAATGTCCTCAACCTGAGCTACAAATGCGTTTAGTGTGGCTCCAAAAATGAGATGTCTTCAGTAATTGTGGATTACAGCAAAGTGCAAAAAGAAAAATCTGTATTCTGTACACACGGACCAATCACGGAGCTGGATTTCTAATTCTGTGCCAATTAACCAGCAGACAGCATATGAGTGTGACCCACCTTCACACATTCTGATCCTTCACTACCAACTGATTTCTTTATAGATTGCATGAGGTAAAGTGAAACCATGGTAACAAGTGTTTTCTTTTTTAAAGTTAAACAAAATTAAGCCACAACACAAATGAGTAAAATGGGGGAGCAGTGTTTTCCTCTATTCATGCAGCAGTGAAAGTAGAAAAAACTGTTTAAGAAACTGATGAAAAAAAAACAAGAACTAAACATTAGTTTTCTAATTTTACTCATCAACACAAATATGTAGATATAATGCTTCGATTGACCAAATAAAAGCAGTTAGAACCAAAACTGGGCGTGAAAGCAGCGATATACATGGAACCGAAAATGAGGTTACCCCGAACCACCACCACCATGGAAAAGTACATGGGGGGAAAACTGGGAAGTAATAAGCATCATACAAGTAAACTCCATGATGTTTCCTCAGGGTGTTCTTTGGGCTAGGAGACTGATATTTTATAGAAAATGTGTGTTTTGTATACATAAGGAGGTGAATGCAGCATGTCTGTGTGTGTAGTATACTCAATGAGTGGGATGCTGCTTGTTTGTTGGGCATTAGGGTTAAACACAGTGGCCCATGGGATAAGGGATATATAGACAAGGCAAGACAGGGCAGTGAGGGCGGAGACGACCCCCCCCCCAAACCCCTGGAGATCTTCAGAGTCCTCAGCAGCTGCAGGTCTCCGCTGACGGCTTGGCTCGCTCGTTCCTGTCCAGCTTTATCGGCTCGGGGAACTCGTTGTACAACTCCACTTCGGTCTCCTGAAATCAGACGATGTAGATGCATCTTTCACGCAAATCCATGCTAAAAAATATGATTCCTTATACATTCAATAAGTGTTTCGTGCAGGCCTACGTTACCTGTTTAAGGGCGTTGCGTGCAATAGTCTGGAAGGCTTGCTCCACGTTGATCGCTTCCTTGGCGCTTGTTTCAAAATATGGGATGTTGTTCTTGCTTTGACACCACGCCTGTGCTCGCTTGGTGGTTACCTGAAACACAAAGGAAGTGATGTCATACTGAGAAACAGGGGTCTTGAGATAAATACCAGAGAATACCATAATATTGATATTATGTTAGTAATTTGGTAATATCATGTAAATAATCTAGTGCTTCCATTCTCTACTTTATTGCTTATATGTTCATTTACCCTCTAATGCTGCTTTATTACAATACTGTTTTTACCATGGATCTGTTGTTATTTAATTTTATGAACATGTGCTTGCCTCTCAACTTAATACATTAGTCTACTCAAAATGCACAATAAACAAAGTAAAAGACACGTTTGCATTGTTATTTCCTTCTAGATAGTAGGCTATTTTAAGAACCAATTTTAAAAAGGTCTCAAAAAGTACAAACCATAACTGTACTAACTTCAATTTTCTTGGAGCCCCCCCCATAAACAACACCGCTGGAAAATATAACTATGATGTGACTTTTTGTTCTTGCTCTGTCTGCCTTTTCCAACACCCCCAACCACAAATCAGTGTAATAATACATTTGCCAAATGAACACAAAATACCCTGATTTTAGATGGAATACATTTCAATTGGTGGCATTATTACATTTTCTATTGATATCATGATAATATTGTTACTGTAAATACTTTTGGCCACAACAATTGTTAAAATAGTGAAAATGTAATATAAAAAGACTGAAAATAATGACACGCTTAATCCAGGCTATTCCAAAACTCAGAAATAACCACTCACAACTGTTGATTTACACAAAAAAGGACATAAGGACACCTTAAATGAGATTATCTGGACCCACCTGTCTGTTCTCCAAGTCGATCTTGTTGCCCAGCACCACGAAGGGGAAGTTCTCGGGGTCTCGGGGGCTGGCCTGGATCAGGAACTCGTCCCTCCAGCTGTCCAGGGTCTTGAAGGTGTTCGGTGCCGTGACGTCGAACACCAGGACGCAGCAGTCGGCTCCGCGGTAAAACGCTACGCCTAAAGACTGGAACCTCTCCTGACCGGCTGTGTCCCAAATCTGAGGAACAGAAAAAGAAGACGCGGTGTTTACATGCACAAAATAATCAGATTACTGCAAATAAGGAGATTAAGGTAATACTCTGGCTGCAGTGCTAACGATGTTCAGGTTAACCAGATCTACCTAATTACATACACTGTAAAGAGACTGAGTAAATAAAGGCACTTTGATTGCGTTTCTGCCATAATTCTGTTTAGGTAGTAGGTTCATTTTCACTCTGTGGTGCATGTGTTGAACCCAAATACTGAAAGAATAAATGTCATTTTTTAACTTAATTCGGAACCCTAACTCAACTTGCCAAGAGTCTAAACCAGGAAGTATTGTCATAAATACTCCGAAATGAAATACCTTTCTACAGGGTTCATACGCTTTTTCACCAATGATTTTCAATTACTTTTCCATGACCTTTACCTAATTTTCCATGACCAAAGAAATTACTCTTTCTCAGCGGTATCACTGAAAATGGTTTATTTTAACATGGAACAGGAAAATAAGGTCTGAAACATGTTGTGCCTATCTAAAACAAATCAAATAGTAGGGTTACTAGCTTCTACACGCTAAAGCAACTAAAATCTCTCACCAGCAAAACACCTCGACAGTTAAATGCCATTTTACGTTTCATTACTATACGATACAGTATGTATTATCATTATAGTATTACTATTTCGGCGATTAGATAAAATATAAATTATATTTGATGCAACTTTAGTTACATTTCCATGACCTTTCCAAAACTTTGGGAAAAATATTGTTTTCCATAACTTTTCCAGGGCCTGGAATTAGCATTTTGAATTTCCATGACTTTTCCAGGTTTTTAATGACCGTAAGAACCCTGTTTCTAATTACTTCAAAGAAACATTTACATTATAGATTCTTTGGATTGATTTCTCTGGGTTTAACTAAATACGACTGTTACAAAATGATTGTGGTAATGAAAATACACAAAAAGTTGAAGCCTTGTGGTTTCTTTTAACTATTCATGAAATGCTTTTGACAGTTGTAGAACGAAATAATGCCTTTACTCTGGTACACATTAAAACCCTTGGCAGACCATTGTTGCATTTAGTGCTTGTTTAAGACATGTACATTGTGTTTCAATGAAAGATAGGGTAGCATGGCCTTTTTGTGAAGATGATTTTCAAAGTACCTGCATTGTGACGAGTCTGTCATCCACCATGACTTCTTTCGTCAGGAAATCAGCGCCTATTGTGGCTTTGTACTGGTTACTGAACTTCTTATTCACATACTGGTTCATCAACGAGGTCTTCCCAACTCTAGGAGGAAACAAATAAATCACAGGACAACATTCAGAGACTGTGATGAAGCCACTGAGGTGCATTGATTCATGGTGCACACAAAATCATTATAGGAATAGATTAAATCCCCTAATGAAGTGCTTCGATGCTAAGGCTCAACGACACTCACCCGGAGTCTCCGAGGATGATGACTTTGAGTAGAACCTTCTTCCTTGACGTCATTGTGCCACAGCTGTAAAAAAAAAAGTAGAGAAGATGGGAGAATACAAATCCTCTAGTAAAAGCAGGGCAACATTGGAAGTGCTCAAACAAGACGGATACAGCGATGCCTGAGTGATGACTCTTTAGTTATGGGCCAACAGCTTTGACTGAAAGATGATAACATGTGTGTGATCTCGAAATGAATGTCAAAGAAATGGGCCTGTTCTAGGAATGAAACCAACTGCAGTGACTCCTACAGTCCAGTTTCCTTTACTTCACAAAGAAAAATACAGCAATTGGTGTAAAACAATAAGCTGCAACACAATGTACCAAGAGGCTCTAAATACAGGCTCTCAAAACAATTGAAAACGCACAATTCACTATATTTGTTTTTTTTACCCACAGTTATTTGAACAATGCCCCGTGCTCAGGATGTTGATGAAATAAACTATTTTGAGCACAAACGCTAGCTGTAATTGTTATACTGTAAAGTGTAGATTTGGTGTTATATATTTTCACAAACCATTCAATGGATTAAAAAAAAAAAAGTATAATCTTGTTCCCAAGATTAAATGTGCAGCTTTTTAAAGCTAAAATAGAAGAAAAAAAAAATCAAAACCACATTTACTCGAAACACACTGAATGAAGGCATGGATCGTATCATCACATGTCTATACTGAATTGCTTCATGAGGACTTCCCAACTGAGACCTGTTATTGTCAAACCAGATGAGCAGGTATTGATGCAATCTTCCTTCCCCGATTGACTCATCTTTATTTCCAAGATCCTTAATAAACATCTTTAAATTCATCCTAACTAAATGTGCCAGTGTGTTTTTACAAGAGAAGCCGAAATGTGTCTTCTTAAATTAAAAAGACACAAACCATATATTCCTGTTAACTAATGATATTCAGAGGTACTGGTTGCTTTTGCACTAAATCTCTTTTATGTGCCTGCTCAAGACATCACCAAGCCTTTCTGATTTTGACTGAGTGTGCTGCATTGTAATAATAAACCACCTCGTACAGCTGTATGAGCAAAGTCCAAACTGTATTACCGATGGGCTTTAAATCATAATTCCCTTCTGTTAGACCCTGGAGAAAGCATTATGGAAGAAAATAACAGTAATAGGGTTTCTCTACACAACACTCAACCACTAATGTGTATCAAAAAGCAGCGTCTTGAATCCACATCAGTGCTATTATGAGGCAAAGCTAGCATAGAGCTATCGCTGCGGGCGGCTCATAATCTGCACCCCATGACACTGTGTCAGGGACTGATCACATGGTTTTAAAACACAGGACTAACGGAACCATGACTTGGCAAGCATGATTAGCACAGCAAATGCTGTAGTTTAAGACAAAACACACCGGTGTAATCCATAGGTATGATCAGTCAATATATACACTTTTCTGGTAGTATATATTTCTACTTAATAAACAGACTTCATATTTTAAATTGTAACCATTAAAACATCAAACAAACATGTTGGAGATCAAATGCCAGATAGCTAGTTAAGCATATGGAAGAACATTATGAAACATGGGTAGGTGAATAGTATTGTTATTAAATAAAGACTCTTTACAAATCAACTAAATACTAATTTTCATACCGTGTCAGCTAACAATTACCACATCGGTGACACTTCTTGATTTAAGCTAACGTTTAGTGAGCTAAGCAAGGATTTTACCAAATGTGAAACTAAGTTGACGACAGCTATATCGTTATTGTGTATATTGTTAGTAAAAAACAAGTACCACAGACAACTCAAACCAACCTGGGCGATGATCCTGCGGTAGAAAAGATCAAAAGTGGGACTTTTCTTCTGCCTCAGTTGGGAGCGCTAGCTAGGCTAACAGGCTAACAGATCCTGTAAACCGTCAGAAAACAACACTTTTTAGCGCATCGACAGCTCAATATTCTCCGATAGCGAGCCTCGCAGCTAAGCCTGCTTATCAAAGTCGACACTGCCACTGCCGATATATCCCTCCCTTCGTGTAACAGAAGCGATTTGGTACAATGGTCGGTTTCGTTCCCGTTGACGCTTTGCTTTCCCCTGTCAAGCTAACCGTGCTAACTGCTAGCTGAGCTCTGCTCACTTCCTCCAAAACAAGCTCTGTCGGGAGGGCTGACGTCACGCCATGGACACGCCTTGTTGCACAGGAGAAGTCTCAACAACACTTGACTCAAGATTTAAACATTCAACGGTTTTATCTCATAATAATAATATTAATAATAATACATTATTATTTATATAGTGCTTTTCCTGGTGCTCAAATCGGTTAGCATCGTAGCTACAGTGAAGGTATGGCAATTAAAATCCCAGTCTTCTTCAAAAAGGCAACATATAAGACATAAAACAATAAAAATAGTGCAAAAAGAAACAGAATAGAAGTAAAATAATGCAAGAGAATGTTGCAAGTGACCAATGTGAAAGTAATGCTGGAGAGGTGAACTAAATACATGTAAAATAGAATCAGATGAGCTAAAAACAACATCTGTACTCAAACAATATTAATTATTATTTAATTATTCATTGTTTATGTATTGATATCATTTTTTTATTTAATCATTGTATTTTTAATTGTCTTTATAATTTTTTTAATAGCATTTATGTACTCTGTACTCTGTCACCCACACACGCCATCTTGCCTCCCACCACACTTCACTTTGCCATGCTGGGAGGCGAATCACCAACCCTCTGGTTGATAGGCATCCATTTACCCCTTCAGCCAAAGACACCAGTACATATTATTCCAGTCAAATTTTACAGGATTGGCATCTACCTTTATTAGGGTTACAAGGCGACACAGAGATATTGTTAAAGAACATTTGTTTGAACTCATCGCCAGAAGTAACCATCAATTTTTCACATCTGTTCCGGAAAAACCCAAGGCTACCAGGACGTGTGGAGCAGGGTTTCCTGAATATGTCATTTAGAAAAAACTGACCCCCACATTGGTAGGTATCCATTTACTTCTTGTGCCAAATACACCCATGTATTTCATCAAAATGTTACAGACTGGGCTCATTCGTATATTAGGGGTAGAATGGGACTACCTGAATATGTCCGTTAGAAAAAACTGGAATCAAGCCTAAATATCTTTCTACCTTTTTCCGTTTTTTACACCGCAACTATACGTTTTTACAAGAGTTTGCGAGAGCAATTATTTTCTAAAGAACTTGCAAGAGTTCCTCCCCGGCAGCTCGGTGAGGTAAAATAACAAAACAATAGAGCATGCTCGGAGTTGGTTGGAAGACATCCATTTACCCCCTTGAGCCCCACACATATTGCATTAACATCTTACTATTACCTTACATTATAACATTATCTTAAATTAAAAGCTTATACCTTCGAGCTTTATAATCTGCTCAATGGTATTTTACCTTTTAAATAAATATCCGTTACAATGCAAAACATTTCTTTCATGACATTGTAACGATGGTACACTTTGACATGAGGAGGAGAGGGCTTGTCAGAGGAGATATTGTAAAAACATCTGTTGGAACTCATCACAGGAAGGGACAGTCCAATTTCTTACATCTGTTCGGAAAACACAAGTCTTCCAGGGCATCTGGAGTCAGGTTTCTTTAATATGTCCTTTAAAAACAATGGAATTAAGCCTCGGTACCTTTCCAACTTTACCAAACTTCAGGTTTTTTTTCCCATTAAAACAAAACCTCCATTCAAACAACAAAACGGTTATCTCGATTGGGACAGTCAGGCTATGACTTCATTATTTCTGAACAACAAGCAGTTATCATGTTGATTTATCCTAGTGTGTATTGTGCTGCTTGTTAAATGTGTGCGTTATCTCACTGCTATAGTGGAGAAGAGCTTCAAAATCAAAAATCTCAAACCTGTATAGAAATCCCATCCCTTTACTGAGTTTTAGGTAGTAGCAAAACCTTTAGCAACACCATTGTTGACGCTAATAAACATCTGGCTGTTGTTGAGGGCTCTGAAGAGAAGTGTACTTCTTGCGCCAAATACAACACAAATAAATCAAAGTTTATTTTAATAGCCCGATATCACAAATTGTACTTTTGTCTCAGGGGGCTTTAAGGTTTATACAGAACATGAATATGCTGGAAATTCCCGGTGCTGAAAGCTTTTGAAATATTTATTGAAGACAGAAGAGTAGCCATATGTGTTTCTCCTTACATTGTGTACAACTTGACACAAAGCTTCCAAATAAAAGGGGGACTGGTCTGAAGAAGTGAAATAAAATATTATAGCAACTCGAAGATATTGTTAAAGACATGTGCACAACTTCCAGAGCAACATTTGTTATAAATGTTGTCGTTTCCAAGGCTACCAAGCAGAACAACATTGTGTGAAACACGCAGAGTTTATTTATTCCTGTATTTATTTCCACATTTATTTATTTCTGTTTTTGTCACATTTACTTATTCATTTATTTATTCCTGTATTTATTCCCGTATTTATTTATGTATTCCTGTATTTATGCATTTATTCATACTTATGTCATGTTCCGTCTTCCACACAGAGACTAAAAGTCTGTTGCCTGCCGAAACCAGGGATCGAACCAGGGACCTTTAGATCTTCAGTCTAACGCTCTCCCAACTGAGCTATTTCGGCTTCATGTTGGGTCAAGTGGTGTGGTCAGACTAGTCAAACACAATGTGTCACAAACAAACCATATATAAAATAAAAACCCATTCGGTCAAACCGGTCAAACGCAACGAAATTCGGTGTTTTTGATTTGTTGATATTAAACTGGACTGCTGTCATCATCAACAGGCAAAGTAACTAACATTAATATTTCAGTTGGAATGGTCGGACAGTAGAAAAGGACAACAATGAGAGGTAAACCTTTTATTTTGTCATCTTAAAAAGCAGGTTTTGGTTTTATCCATAGACTGTATATATAAAGGTTTTATCTTAAAAACGTTGTTTTCCTGTTAGATTTCACAATCGGGTCCGACGCAAGGCGCGTTGTGAACGTGCAGCACGCACCGCGACGTCATGACGTTGGTCCGAATGTAGCGTCATCCTTTCTGATGTAGAGCGGCACGGCGGCCTTTCTTTGCTGCTCTACATATCCCTCCGTCTCTGTCTGCACTTATTATTCCCGGTATTTCAGTTCTGAATTTCTCCAAACATGGCTCGAAAGACGCCGGTTCTCGCAGCGTGCCTGCTGCTGCTTCTGGCCGCTGTGGGCTCGGAGGTTTCTGCTGACGGGTTGGTTTACGAGGACGTGAAAAGAACCGTGGACCTGAGCACTCATCTGGCTAAGATCACGGCGGAGATCGTGCTGTCCAACCAGGGACCCTCCGCCGCTCATAACTTCATATTAGCGATAGAGGCTGAACTAGTCCCGAACCTGGCGTACATCGGAGCTTCGGTGAGCCTAAAACACCAGTGAATCTTAAGTAACGCTAACACCTCTGCCTGTAACCGGCTAGCTAGCTTTAGCATGTTAGCAATCTCATAGTAGACTACAAAATGCTTGCCTGTGCAAAGTCTTGCTGCTCTCAAATGATGCATTTGCTTCTCATTTGGCTGCAGCAATACTGTAAATAGCAAGCTAGCATATTTTACAATGTGCATGCATTCAATCACAGCTACTAGCTAATCAGGCTTGTGTGATTCAGTGAGGGGAGTCACGTTATAGGAAGTCAGTTAGCTACTATTTCAGCATGTAATATTATATTGATTAGTGCACACTTTGGGGATCAGATGATTTGCAGTGCGCCATAATGTAACAAACAGCTCAATTTATATTAGATTCATTCATTTTGAATGACTAGGGATGTTAACTTCCGCAGGCTGCACGCTCTGTCAGTGGCTGAGCGACACGTATGAGCTGGGCAGATCGCTTCCGTGTGTGACTGCGCAGGCCGGACCCCTTTCATTATGTATTAAACTGTATCAATGCTCTGTTTGAGACAATAAACTCACATGGTACATTTATTTTAAAGTAACGAATTCCAATATTGATTGCTCATAAATGTATTTCGCTTGAAAGTGTTTTTTAAATAATGTATGCTCAAACCACCATGTTTCCTACAGGTAAAGGGTGATGAGGAGGATGATGGCACACTTGAACTCCAACAGACAACAATTCAGGGCCAAAGGTAAGAGAGTGGATTCTTACATTGTCTAAATAGATTCTGAGAACAGCCAGTAACACAATATAAGAGATTTTGGCAGCATTTTGCTATGTATAATGTAAAGCAATAAAACTCCATATCCAAAAAATAAATTCCTTAAAACAAGACTGCCTTTTTTAGTTCCTGAGAGGCTGATATAAGATAGATAGAAAGATACATAGATATTTTATTCATCCTAAATTGGGAAATTCTTTTGTGACAGCAGTAATAATCCACCAGCAGCAGAATTTAAATCATTATGCAAATGTGCCTTACCCATGCTCCTCTCTGTCTCATCCTTTTCCACACAGTGGGGCTTTCTACAAAGTGCAGCTGCCCTCCAGCTTGGCACCGGGGGCTCAGCTGAAAGCAAAGTTGGAGATGACCTTCAGCCACGTACTGCAGCCCTTCCCCACTCAGATCACCCAGGCCGAGCGCCAGCTGGTGGTCTTCCAGGGGAACCACTACATGTACTCCCCTTACCCCATCCGCAGCCAGACCACACGCGTCCGCCTGGCCTCCAAAACTGTGGAGTCCTACTCCAAGCTGGGTAACCCGAGCAAGAACGACGAGATCATCGAGTACGGACCTTTCCGTGATGTGGCTCCGTTCAGCGAGGTACAGCTCGGACCACATTCGACAAACTTCCGGTGAAACTGCGAGAAAGTTGGCTGAAATGCTCTGTGTTTTGTGTGTTCAGGATACATTGAAGATCCATTACGAGAACAACTCGCCCTTCCTCACCATCAGCAACATCGTCCGCACCATCGAGGTCTCTCACTGGGGTAACATCGCTGTGGAGGAGACTATCAACCTGAGGCACACAGGGGCCGTCCTGAAGGGGCCCTTCTCACGCTACGACTATCAGCGCCAATCAGACAGCGGCATCTCATCTGTCAAATCCTTTAAGGTATTGTATTAAACGTTAACTGCATCCACTTCCCATGTTTTTACTGTCACGATGATGTAGGCCTGTCGCG